AAATTTGTTTTCGATGTTCCTTTTGCGTGCAAATGTTTTCACCGCTACAGGCCCCTTACGCATCTTAATTGGAAAAGCGAGACCCAAACCCAACATATAAGACAACAAGTTCGAGAAAAGAATAGGCTCATTAGTCAGAGTGCATGTACCCTCTGATCGTACCGACATGCCCTCTCAAACACACATACTAATTAACTGATTCATCAGTGTTGCTTCAGCATATTGAATGTTTCAGGCGTATGTCTCGACTAGTTCAGAGACTCATTTACACTATGAGTTTTATGGAATTTTTCATTTCACATCGCATCTCCCGAGAAAAAAAAACGTTTTCGAAAATGTCATCTGATTAATTAATCATCAACATTGCAGAGTTGTAGATCCCTTGAAATTTAACTATAATGTCACGTTTAAGTGACGTGGCAGCGCATATGGCACAATCTATAGAAAAAATTTGGTGCCAATATGTGATTTGATATCGCTTTCAAAAGAACAAAAGAATTCGCAACACAATGCTGTCTATAGAAATTACGAGATTTGCTCAAAATTTCGCAATTTGACGAACAATTTGATTTGGTTGATTATGAAAATTTAAATTTTTTCCCCATAATCCAATAAGCTATAAATCATTGAGAGGGAGAAAGAGAGATGTTCGAAAACATCGCGGGTTGCCTTTCTACATCTGGTACCACTTGAGGATCATATACAGTAATTTGAAAACAGTAGGCTAATTAATCCCTCGTAACTAATTTTAAAACTATTAAACAAAGGCAAAAATAACAAAGCCCAAAATCTCATATTTCACTCCAGATGTTTTTCAGGTGTTGATGTCATTTCCCTGATTTACGGCATGTTGCAACAGCTTGTTGCCGTCTGTTGCAAGTTGATGCTTGACATCACAAATCCCTTTTGCTGTAAAATTTGGTTATTATGAATCCATTGTGACCTCATTAGTTGGGTTTGAGTTGCCGGTCCCGGTGTTGTCGTAAGCAGCTTATCCGCGCATTTCTTTTTCGGGAGTGCGCCATTTCGCCGCGTCGCTGCTTCTCATCTGTCACTAGTCGGGCCCGTCATAGCTCATAATCACTGGAACAAGTAATACATAATTCCTTAAGCTGGTAGACTGCAGAGGGGGGCAAGCGTTGTCGGAGGGCCGCAGCTGCCGATCGGTGCAACCATTCGTGTCGGCTCTCCGTGTGCCCTCATCGTTCATACATGCTTCTCATATGTGTCGCAGAGCTACACTGCTAATTACTGCAATATACAATTATCATTATTATTATTATTATTACAAGAGCATTGGTTGGGAGGAGGAATATGGAACAAATAGTCAGGAAAAGAGGCAGGCGAGACTCGGCGAGCACGCCACCGCCACAAATTACAGAGTACCGACGACATAAGCCGCTAAAGACGTACTGTTTAACGTTGTTCAATTGACCGATTAACCGAGAACGATTAATAATTACAAACCATCAAGCAACAGCCAGGTCAAAACCCGCTGTATATTCAGTTTGAATTTCTCATCTATACAGGCATGCACAGTTTGATGAATAATTCCATCGATGAGAAACTGCATGTAGTGGTTGCGTCACACTTCTACAGTAATCCATCGTTACAGTAAAGAAGAAGAATGAGAAGAAAAAATATATTGCGAGCGAGAGTTCTCCTTTTCGAAATATATATGACTTTTTGCCTGACGGGTTCCGAACAAAAGGTTGCGATTTCATTTGGCCACGTTTTCCATTAATTTTATGAATAATTCGGCTTGAATGTTAATAGTCAATGATGCCGAAATTGAACCAAAAGCTTACATAGTATAAATTTGAGGGCATTCCCCCCGTTTAGCAACGCATTTTTAGCATTTCATCATTACAAGGATATTGTTGAGAATATCTTTTGAAATTGTTAACAAAACGTTTTAAAGACAATTGAATTTTTGCGGATTCGAAATTTCTAAAGCGGCTATATAAATTTATGTTTGAAAATTTACATGGAATTTGAAAATTTCAAGGATGCAGAGCTCGATAGATCGATAGGAACACAGATTAATTAGTGAAATTTATGGAAATAATACTGCCTCTCCCCGGGTTTCCCGACAATTCAAAAGTAACATTTTCTGTGTGTTTTTTTTTTCTCGTTTCCTTTTTTGAATTGATACATGCATCGGCGTTACATGACTAACTGATATAATTGCATTCTATCATTACAGTTGTCAATTCGTATACAATAGCGGCGCAATGCACACATACATTTTTTTTGTCCCTTGTATATCACAGATTGGGACATGTTCCATTCAAAAGTGAGGCGATGATTAATAACTGTTTGGTGCGCAATTGCCATACAAAATACATTTTTGGTTTAGTTCCACAGTATTGGTAATAACAATCGGGCATGTTTCAATCCGAGTTGGAAAGCCAGTTAGTCGCCGCGACGGCGGCGGAATCCGATTTTTGCTGACTGACTTGTCGCGTGTTCTTCCTTCTTTAACACAACGACATTTGAAAACGCAGTTTTGTAATATGACCGCATAGTCGTTTGTAATTTATGCAATCAACCGAGAAGCGGATTATGTGCGAGATTTACGTCCGACCTGTTGAGCAACATAATTCGAGGCGTACTCCGAGGGGCGATGAAGACAATAGAGGACCCACGACCGGATAATTAATAGGGTTTGCTCGGGACCCCCTGCAGTTTTTTTTCCGCGACGATTGGCGTGTGCTATGGAATTACCTTGGCCGACAGCCGACGACTCACTCATTTCTCCATCGAGAGCCGCAACTCAAGGTGTCATATTTGAATAGGCCTTGTACGACAATTAACACAGCTAATCCAAACAACAAGAAACTGCAATACCGAAGTGTTGGAATTTTTGGGCAACAAGTGCTGCGGACACGGAAACGACACAGGCTGCCTAATGAAATCTATTTCAAAGTCAAAACACTAGAATATTCAATTCGGGGTGCTCGTCCCGTAGAACCAGGTGCCTCCCCAAATTCTCCCTTCGATCTTTAACAATACCACAGGTGGAAGGAAACACACCGCCAGATTCACACCTGCAGACAGTCAGTAATCGCCATGCTCTGAAACCAAATTGACACGAAAATTGTTTGTCTTGAACTGAATCGGGTGCGACAGATTTGAACACGGTTTATACATATATCTGTGTGAATGTGGCTGGTATTCCTAGAACAAAGAACGGTGTATTTGCTTAAGAGATGTATGTGATACACACAAATGGAGACATTCTCTCCCGACTGTAAATACCATTATACCGGGCGGGAAGTGGGTGGGTGGCGGAAATGAGGACAGTCGTTTTTTTTTTTTGCTTAGCTGGATTACCTTTCACTTCTTACGTAGCAAAGGAAGAGCTAGCAGAAATGACGAGCATCCTCGGAAATCCCCTCCTCTCACTATGTCCTAAAATTTGCTGTGTATTCTCTTTTTCACGGAGTCTCGGAAAAGCTCTTCGCCGGCGGTATTCTAGCTTCGTCTAGAGGCACGCGTCGTTGGCAATGTCGACGACGTTGACTACGGTAGGAAGCTCTGCGGCTCTCCACACCGATGCATATATATGCGTGTGTGTGTGTGTGTGTGCATGTGTGTATGTGCAAGTCATGTGCGCTCAAATTGGCTCAGGTATACGATAGTCAAGAATGAAATCACAGCACAGAGGGTCGAGAAGGCGAGAGCCAGCCGAGTCCCGTCGGCAAAATTATTATTGAACACTATTGTGTGCCCCCCTGCTGAGCAAAATCCCCGCGAACCTGGAGCGTTTTCACCAAAATATGGCCAATATTATGTCAATTGTTTCGGCGGGGTACTGGTTTTTGGCCAGCCGCACTTTCAAAACTCCAAAGCAGTGCTGCAATATGCTACTAATTAGGCAGGCCTTTTCATCACACCTTTTTCCATATGTTGCGCGCTGCACGCCACGATATGAACAATTAGTGTTCGTCTCAAAAGTTTTCGCTCGCCAAAAATTGGACGAGAGCTCGCGCAACCGGACCCAAGGAGCACCAGGTACAAGGCGGCCGGGCGCCTGCGCTCTCGCTTTCGAAATTTGATCGCTCTGATGTTTTTCGAGTTCTCGTCGCCGCCGCCACCGCCGCCACCGGCGGCTATTTTTGTTTGGGTAAGCAGCGCGAGAAACTGTGAGCGCTTGGAACTGACACCAACAACGGCGGCTCAGAAAACCGAGTATGTTTGACGATTCGTGAAAATTATATGCTCACTCTTGTAAGGTAAACATTGACATAAACATGTTTCGCGGGTTTTCAAGGTATCGATTCGATTAGATGGTCGAGATTCCCACTTTTTTGATATTGGAGAAAGGGCAGACATTTGCAACAAAAAAAATTGATTTTTCAAGTATTTATGGGCAATAAATATGACAAAGAAAACTAATCGTGAGTTGGACAGAAAACATTACGGAAGACAACGAAAAATCATCATGAGGTCCTCTTTGAGTTTCAGAATATTCGAAAAAAAAACCTAGCACATTCATATTGTCGCAAAAATATCAATAATCGAGTTAAACAAAATATTGGGTTCAATTTCATGGGGGAAGAAGAGCTTGGTTTGACACACACGCGATAAAAAATGTGTCATTCAAAAACAGTGAATTTCAGCTAGAAAAGTCACGACTTCTTGTTTCGAAATAAACCCATTTAATGAATTGGACGCAAAACCAATTCATAATGTTGTTTCAGACGGGGATATTAGATTGGATGAAAGTTTGGAGATGAAGAAAAAGAAATAAAAAACCAAAAATTAATAAATACAGCATGTGGCAATTGATGTAATGTATATAATACAACTGAATTCAATACCTTCCGGATAATTTTGTGGTAAGAAAATTTTAATAATTGTAAAATTGAATGAATACTATAATGAACCGTTTGATCATGTTTTAGTTAGGGGAACAAAACGAAACGAGAAAAATTATGCGAAAAATGAAGAAAATCAATATAATGGAAACGGTGGGTTATTTTTAGGAAAATGATTCACGAGGTGACATGCGACTGGGAGAGTGCTGCAGGCAAATTTTGAGCGATTCCAAGGTCCAAATTGTACTGATACATGGCTGCCATGTGCTCCTTGCTCGGATCATAAAACGGGCGGAACTGCGATGCATGTTCAAGCGCTGCCGCCGATGCGGCTGATTCGCTACCAACCGGCGACGATTCCGATTTGGGTGTCAAGTAGGTCGTCGGATTGTAGTTGACATTAAGTGGCGATTGTTGATATTGTGTCGGCGATGAATTGTCATTAGCAATGGCTCCCGGTGCACCAGCTCCAAGATAGTTCATCTGGTTCATCATGTCATAGCCGCGCTGGTAGAACGGATATGTGGCCGGATCGAAGTATGACGTCGCTGTATTCCATGTGGCTGGAATGCTAGAGTAAACCTGAAAAAAATCAATTCCATTTTTGACGACCATGATAAATATATTACCGGAGGCTTTAAGCTGTCGATTCCGCTGAACTGCATCGGTCCACCATTCTTCTTATTAATCGACTTTGTCTTTCTGCGAGGTCTATACTTATAATCTGGGTGTTCCTAAAAAAAAACTCAACATATTCAAAGGCAAATAAAAAGTGGTCAACCTTCATGTGAATCGCCCTCAACCGTTTCGCCTCATCGATAAATGGTCGTTTGTCCTGTTCATTGAGCATTTTCCACTCGGTACCAAGTCGCTTGCTGATTTCCGAGTTGTGCATTTTCGGATTCTCCTAGAAAATTTGAAAGGGTCCATCTTCGATACGAGAAGCGAAAAGAAAATGTTTTGTTGAGAGAAAAGCCCCACTTCCGGAGCGGTCCTCATCATCATCATATCCCGCAACAGATTGCGAAGGGAAGAAACTCTAACATCATGTAAATAAACTATATTTTATATACGAGAAAAAATAGAAGTACGAAAGAAAAAAAAGTTCAAGTTCAAGTGGCAATCGTAATTTCATCGCAAATGAAAATTAGCACTCAATCAGTTGTAAATTGGCCGCTAATTATACTCATTTTTAGCCCTACGATTTTAACTCAAATCACCAACCTGGGCCATTTTTCTGCGTTGTCCTCTGCTCCACACCATAAACGCATTCATCGGACGTTTCACTCTGAAAAAAAAATAGTGATAGGAGAAGTTCTGATTTTGAGAATGTGGCTACCTGTCATCGGATTTCTTTCCATCCTTTCCACAAGAATCCGGACTGTCTGGTCCATTTGAGATATCATCCGGAAGTGATTGCTGTGGAATGTGCGATGATGAGGTTGGCGGAATTTGGAAGCTCGTCATACACCATTGATAGTCGTGCATTGGCTTCAAATCCGGATCCATCATCATCTTATTAACAATGATATGACACTTTGGCCGGACACTGCAAAGAAAACCAATACAATACAATTTTGAACGGGAATTGCGCGCACGCTGAACAAGACAAAAAGAGCGCGCGGTCTAGAAGAGAGGAAGAGCGCGCGCCGTGGAACCCGGACAAGATGTAAGGCTAGGGGCGTGGCAAACACCAACGAACGCCGCCAATCAGCGCAGCCGAGAGGCGGAGCCTACCAGAGTCAGCCAGCAAAGGCGGGCGACGAGGCCGCCACTTCGATCGTGTTGTCGACGATGTCGCCGCTGGCGACGGACCTGCGACAAAAGCAAACTATGAGCAGGAAAAAGCAGCAAATAGCATATGTGGTATGGAGGAATCAGACGGTCGTCGCAATGGCGACTATACACTTTTTTTGATGCGAATGTTGCGCGCCCGGGCGAGCGCACAAAAAAGAACTAGGAATTTTTTTCTCCTCCCACTATCCCAAGCCAAAAACAACCATTGTTCCGGAAATTGATTCGATTTTCACCTAGAAAAGTCGTTAGAGATTACCGCGGGCTTAAAAACGACATTGCAGTTGAAGAAAATAATAATAACCAAGTGATGGGAATATGGATAAAATTTTCAATGTTCTTTATGGAACATAAATGTCATAGATGATGTTGGAACGAAACTATCACGATCTCGTGGTTTTAAAAAAATTGTTATTGTTCTTATAAGAGTTGTTAAATTTCTATTTGAAATAAATCTCTTACAAAAAAGTCTAAAATGAATGATTCCACCAATCAGGAATGAAGGAATCAAACTTTTCTTAAAAGGACATACTAGAATGCAGAAGTGCTCATAAAACTTCAAAATCAAACAAGGAAAACCTTTTATTCGACGCGTGCCATTCGAAAAACGGAAGACAATAAGGCTGGCGATGCCTAATTTAGCCGACACAGCCTCTTCAGTCTCATTCAATTATACATACAAATATGAACCTCGACACACCCTATTATCGAATAAAAACACATATATACATTGGCCGAGCAGACATTTTTGTTTTACGTAGAAGTGTTTAACTCTGGAAGAAAATGGAAACGTAATGGAGTATTTATAACCAACTAATAACACATGTTATCCTTGCCCGATTCCTACGGTAAATGCGTTTGAGGATAACAAACCGGAATGAATAGCAAGCGATTAGAAGTGACATGGATTACAATAGGTGGTGATTATTAGGATATGCCGTTATATATATTAAAAATGAGCACGACGTAAATCTGCGCTTTTTTTAAGGTTAGATGTAATTCATTCTACTAATCTCGAAGGTAAAGGATGGATGAACTTAATTAAAAATGTCGTCGTCGTCGCCGCCGCAGATAATCGGTGAGCATCATAAAAACCTGGGAATCTAATTCAGTTCGGTGAGGTCTTAAAGCTACCGTAGAATTGAAATATATGATGATGTGAGGATATAAATAAAAATGCTGGGAAAATCGCTAATACGAGGGATCGCACAATATTCAGAATTAAGGATTGGAAAATATTCATGGAAACGAATGCAAATATAGAAGACAATAATGACTAATGCCGGAATTTCTCAATCGATTAAGTTACTGAGAAGATGATATAGAACTAATTAGATAGTATTGTTGGAAGGCTTGATAGTTTATAGAGGTAAGAAACTTTAGAAAATTATCGTTTGTCTATGTAGTAGTTTTGGTATATTATAAAAACGGGAATTTTGTAGACTTCATGTTTTTTTTTCGGTCTTTAAATTACTGAAAATAGGTCTTTCGTGTTGTTATCCTATCGCCCCCTCCCATTTCTTTAAATTTCAAAAATCTGAAATTAGCTTAAAATATTGCTAATTTCAGATACCTTCAGACTCTCTAGTAATGATCGTTACCCTTGATTCCAAACAAAATTGTGCTTTCGCTTGCAGAATTTTTTTTTCAAATCGTCACGGCGCCACCAAATATGCAATAATTGACAAAATATAGGCGAGCGCGGGGACGAAGTTGTTGGTTTTTGGCTGAGCACTTGCCGTCCTCTCTACTCTTTCCATCCATCTCTCGACCAAGCATACACAGACCTACCGTATTCCTGGGCGAGAAAAAACACACACACACACATACACATATAACGTTAGGGAAAAAGATAAAAGAATGGGAAATAGAGAGGAAGAGAGAGGGCATAGAGGGAAATGGCAGCGGAATGTGCGGGCTTCATCATACATTTGGAAAAATGAAAAGAGCGCGAATCAAGCAATTTCTGGAGTGATGATGATTGCGTCGAAACCGTTTTCGAATTTCATATATCAACAGTTTATAATAGAGGACATACGGAAAAGAGGTGAATAAAAAACAAGCAAGGTTGAAAAAATGGAGCGATGAGGAAATAAATGGCGCTCGAAATCGGAAGAAGTTGATACAGTGGCGAGACGTTGAGAAAGTATTGAATCATAAGAGAGCGGCGAACGATATTTAGGATCTATAGGAGCGGACAGGACGAAGGTCGAAACGATCAAGAAATGGTGAACGGCGAGAAGCGCTTGAACCTTGAACCAATATCTTCAAATGGTCAAGTCAATTTTGCGTCGCTGCTCCTCCTCGCCCACCAATTGTTTCACCTTATGAGGCGATTAACTCCAAACCGATAATTGTCGTCGGTCGAATAACCTTGCCGGAACCAACAAACCATTTTTCTTTGATAATACTAGTAAATGATGCGTTAAGAAGCCAAAAAATAGGCGTTCAAATGATGACGGCATTAAAAAAAAGTACATGATTTTTATGCGGCATACTGTATCTGTGTGGCGAAACGCTGTCGACGAATATTCTCGCATACATAATTAGGCTATTCATGGAGGCGTTTTTTTTCTGTACGCTGACAACAATAGGAAGCTGCAGATAAACCGTGAGAACTATATTCTTTATTGGTTTTGGCAGTACTGCCCAATCATGCTATAAGTCGTTTGAGACCAAATCAAGTGTGAGATAATTTGCCATCAAGAGTGTTATGTCAATTAACCACAAATCATCAAGACTGGAGCAATGAATGATGTAAAAGAGAGTTGGCGTTAAATCGAATTGTGAATCACGGGATATGAAAAAATTCCATAAGAACCCATTAAATAATAACACGCTTAAATGATTTCTCTACTAATATGCATATTCAAGAAGTATCTTGAAAAAAAGAACAAAACAAGGTTGGAATAAAATCAGAGGCATGAATGTAGTTCATGTTTTCTCAATATGAAATATGAGAGGAAAAAAATTGGTATCAAAACCTTACCGATTCTGCCAACGTTATAAAACCGACAGAAGCACGGTGGAATGTTCAACATAGAAACAAAAATCAATTTTCCAATATACCAACACGACGTTTTTTTTTTCTAGGAATTCTTACCTTGACGTCGAATTTCATAGAAATAATCAGGGAATTGACCAAAGCGAGAAAGCGTCATCTTACGTAGAGCCTTGTGGGACATTGTGTCGGCGTATACTTATTCTTCTACTTCTTCTTCTTCTCGTTCGTCGTCTTCTGTGGTCTTCGTTGTCGTCGAGGCCCCCCTCCCAACCAATCATTACAGCGCATTGTTTCTTTTCAATCCACCGCTCCATTCCTCCTATTCAGTCTTTTGTATTCGTGTTGAAAAGGGCGTACGCGGGCACATGTATTCACTCACTTCCCAATAGCTAGTATAGCTCAGTCTTTTTTTCCAACACCATCGACGCAGTTTTCTTCTTTCATTTTTTTTTAGAAATTTTACATATCTTCTTGATCGCGCGTTTTTTTGTTCACCCGAGCAACAATTCAAATCGTTTCCGCTAAATTTCCCACCGATCGTCAATTTGTTTTGTCTTAGCCTCGATTCGTCATGAAAGGCAAGCCGACCGGCTTTCAGACGGCGCGCAGGTGGCACCAGCAGCACACCAAAATTAGAGCAGCTTTAGGGATTAGCGCGACACAGCATCTATATTTAATATAATTATTATGGCAATTTAAAGAGTCGAATGGCGGAGTCAAATTACAGAATTTTTACGTGAGCGATCGCTCTTCTGACTAAACGTTCAATTAAATAAATCCACCAGGGGGTAATTCGCTAGCGAGTAACCAGCAATTAGCCAAATATCACATACATTCGAAACAAATATTGCCAATTTTCGCAAATTTTTTTTCAATCTTGTCGAACTAGTGGAAAAAAATCGTCGAACAAACAAACAACACATATTTCTGTATATATTGATATGTGTATGTTTGTATCGAGAATTATTTGTTCACACCGAAGCAAGGAAACACGCGTCGGTCCGTCGAACCGTCTACAAGATCGGGTTACTGTAGGGTGGCAGTGGCGTTGTGAGAAGAGAGGAGGGGGGGTTGGGGAGAATCACACAAACTTTTCAAATAGCGAGAGAATTGTGTGAAGCGCAGAGAATGTCGTGGTTGGACGACGCCTCGCGCGATGATTATATCACTCGACAGTTTGCACACGCCCTTTTTAGCAATACCGTATCCCTCAAACCGCGGTTTTTTGCACAAACAAAACACAACTACCGCATTTTTCTCGCTGACTGTATACGGAAGCGCGGGTACATAGAAAAACATGAAATAAGAATAATAACAACGATAACAAGATAATTAAAGGTGAATAAGCAAAAAGAAGCCAAGATATTGCTTTTCGAAAATTGGAGAGTGTTCTAGAGAAATTAATATACAATTATCCGTAATTGTCCAGAACAAATTTACTTGGATGACTGATTATTAAATCCAGAGCATCAAGAAAGATGCAAAGAAACAAATGAAGAAAATATTCATTGATTAGGAAAATTTAAACTTCTTAGAATAGTTGAATCAGATATTAGAGCTTTTGATACCTTCAATAAATTGTTCAAATTGTTTATCTAAGCATGAAACAAGTTTTGCCAAGGGTGCTAGTTCGAATTTCGATTGAATACGATAATCTTAATGACCTCGAAAAGTGTGAAAATTTGAAAAATATTCTTCCACAAATTGGTTTTTTTTCTTTTAGTGCACTTCTTTTGAATCCCAATTATTCTTTTCGTCGCGCAATTTTTCAAAACAAACATCCAATTAATAATGAATTGTGTTTGTCGAGATTTATTTCAAACTCAAATGCATTTTTTTCGACAATAAACGAGTAAAACAAGATGGTCACGAATCAAATGAACAGGAGTATCATAATGACACAAATCTCCAAGCTCACTCACAAAACATTGCAAGTTCAACTTTATGAGACTAGTACCTTAGTTTTTGAATGGTATTCAAAAGAGAGAGAGAGAGAGAGAGAGAGAGAGAGAGAGAGAGAGAGAGAGGGAATTATTAAGGAATGCAAATGAACAAGAGGAGATACCCCATGAGAATTTTTTGGGGAGATCAACACGAAACAGTTTTTGATTCTTAAGACTGGTTAAGCAACGTTTGCGATTTAAAATATAGATAAGAAAATAAATTAAATGATTGATGTACAATTGGTGAAACGATGGCGGGAAAGACTCGGAGGGTTTGTTTTCTGAGGTACAAAGAAATGAAAGGTGAGACTGTCACTGTTTCCACCTCAACCCGGCCCGCATGTCAATCTCTAACCTCCCCCTCTCGGCGAACGCATTTCCCTCACCATTTCAATAGTATACGGGAAAAAATCGGGCGACGTTTTCGAGGAGGGTTAGAAGAGCGTGATGGCGGCGGGTGGTGGGAAATTCCAAGGTATTGATGTTACAAGCTTGTTCACCTCCTCCCACCTCTCGCCCCAAACAACCCCCGCGTCTTCTCTTTCATCTAATGTATGCAAACGATAATCGTAACACGGGTAAAATGCAAATTATTATTGGAGCGTTTGGCCAATGTTGGGGCCCGCCGTGATATAGATGTCGTCATATGGCGCCTCTTGGTGCACGTCGATCGCCTGCCACTTTTTCAGCACCAACAACGTGTAGAACTTCTGTGCCGCAGTCTTTCTCGTTGCTCCTTTTGTGAGCAGATCGTCAAGGATTATCTGGAAAAATGAATTTATTGCTAGAAATAATGTTGTTGCGTCATCATCTTCTTCAGTGACATATGGGGGGAAAACGAATGGAACGGTAACAGATTGTTGTGACACATACTTAACATCCTGTCGCCATTGCGCAAGAATAATAATTTATTGGTGATTAAAATTTGATGTGCGTGTAAGAAATTGTTTTAGATGAGAGGGATTCATAATTAGAAGCTTCCCATCAATTTGAAATTCGTCTATTCGCCCAATACAGTTCAATTTCATGTATTACTCATCTCACAAATTCCGCCTTTTTTTGCAGATTTTCGGAATATTTTCCGAAATTGCCTATTGCAACGGCAAGAAAAAAAAACCGCAAAATTGTCACTTTCAATTCTCGATGAGGCAAGTTTTTTTTTATTTGCTGGTACACCCTCCCCCTTCCAACGACCTTCTTCGCCACCTTCTCGGTCTTCATCATTTTTATTCCAAAAACTCGTACGTTTCCCTAAAAAGGACATCAAGAAGGCGGAGGAATTGGAGGATGGGAGGGCTGAGGTAATAATGGGTACACTACGGGTTAAGGTCATGAATTTAACTGTATTCGAAATGGGTGTGTGTGTGTGTATTTTGTTTGCGGTGGCGCAAGTATCCGAACCGCCAATTTTGGCAGCGCGCGGGACGCGATTCTCGACCCTCTTGTTTTTCGTCTTAATCCTTAATCAATTCAAATCCAGTATGTGCCGAGGGAGTCACTTGACTCGCGCAAAGCTTCAATTCAAAAAATGCTGATTTATGTGCGAATATGACCTCGTTTATGGATATCAAGTGGTTCTGGCACCGGATCGCGACAGGGGCCGTCGGAACATAACGGAACCGATCCCGACCGGCCCGGGACTCTTGTTGACCACTCCTAATCTCTTTTCCGTCTCGTCTCGAAACAAGAATGAAACATGATGGCGTCGACGTCGTACTCCAAAATTTCTTATGTACCTACTTCATCGGCAGTTATGTGTCCTTGTCAGTAGTGCAATTGCATCCACTTCACCACACATCATATGTTCACTCTTCACACGAAGAGTGAACATGAAAAAGACGACGATGGAAACTGTTTTGTAGTTTTCGGGATTTCTTTCAGGATTGATTCAATCGCCCATACCAACCAACATCAAAACGAATGGATATTTTTACCTGCTCGTCTTCGGCACTCTTGATCTTGTTGGAGATGGACGTCAACAACGCCTGAGTTCTCTTCGAGAAACGATTGTCATCTTCATTCTCTTCTTCTTCTTCTTGTCTGCCCTGTAAAAAAAGTTTATGAGGTGATACAGTACTCTAAAAAATGTACATATATTCGATATTGTTTGTGGCGGCTCAAACAAAGGGGAAAACACGGGTCGTGTTGAGAGACCGTCGGTCTCATGGACCTCCGAATGTGTTTCTATTGTTCGAGGCACCCATTTTTTGTCTTGTCGCGTCCGAGGGTTGACAAACATTTTTGTATCATTCTTGACTGATGGGGACAGGGGGGGGCTGTTAAAGATGATAAAAAGAATGAAAGTTTGAAAATGTTTTTTTTAATAATTGATAGAGAAAAAATTGAAATTTGGCAAAAGTTTTTGTACGAAATAAAAAACTTCACGAACCTCACGCCGACTCTTTTTCTTATCGGTTGGTGACGCGAAGTCATCCGAGGTTTCATCTGGAACTGGCGAGTTCGGAAGGACTTCCGATGAGAGCTCAATCTGCACTGGCGAGCTGGTATCGTAATTCTCAAAGTCAATCGTGTCGGCGTCATCAAACTCATCCGGGAACGGATTCTCCTGAAATTGCAAGTTCATCTCATCTTTTCATCGCACTTTTCAAATGTTTTCAACGTCAACGGATTATCTAACCAGATTAGGAAGAGTGGGTGATTGGGTGGTTCGAAAATGGTGTCACCATATACTTTTGCACTTGACACACTGGCTGCGATGCCGATAATCCTGATTAGGCGGCACAGAAGAATCGACTTGCAGACACGTGGCGTCAAAAAAAAAAAGCGACAAAAATCAGTGTATTAAGACAACCACTTGTCCATATGGTTGATGAGAGCTGTTCCATATGTTCCGGCCGAGTACTACAAGCGGATTGACACACAATTAAGTGGCTAATCACTGGCCTTCCTAACACCCACTTTTATAGTGCCGTCAAGTGCGTGAATTCAAAAACGTGCTTTCAATTTTCTTGGGGGATTTCGAATGATATTAACCAAAAATATTAAATTTGGTATTTGGAAATACATCGAAAAGAAATTTGTATAACAATTTTGTATTTTAGAAATCTAAATTGATATTTGGGATGGATCTACATAACACTTTGCACTATAAAAATCGTTGATGATATTTTAGAAATTGTAACAATTTCCAAGGAATCCCCCCTCGACAATTAAATATAAAATTTGTTCCAGCTTCTGGTGTTGTGAACTTCAAATATTTAATTATGCTTCGTTGCTCACGTGACGTCATTGGCTGTAAGCGCATTGTTCTTCCATATTTAATTAAAAGAATCATCAAAACGAGAATCAATCTCTTGATACCTACCTAGCTAGATTGTCTCATTTGTATGACCCATATTAACGGTTTAATTTACGAGGCTCTTTCTATTCAAAAAAAATCTAAATCATAAAAAACAGGAGCGCAACGTTTCTTTTGTTATTGGAGGCTATGTCGTGATTGCGTAATGAAATGTGCACAACAAAACATAATTGCATTTTCTCGATGCGCACATGTACACATACATATATTGGCATGGATGATGGGTCGACGCGTAATATCACACCTTTCGCGGGCTCCCTTTTCGTGCCAAACCCTGTGCATGTACTCGGCTAAATGTCACAAGAGTTGCGTAATCTTCTCAAAAACAATGACGACACGCCGCGGCATCGCGGGGTCGGAATGGTTAAGGGAAAATTGAGGAAGCAGGATATACGCAATTCCTTTTGTCATTGCCTAATTGTTATCACATTCCGTAAATAATAATGGACTCACTAATGGAATATTATAATGAAGACTAACCTCCCCCCTCCTTAATATTGAAATAAGGGACTAGAAAGTATCTACTGTACATCAATTGCTTGAAATCTGGAGTTTCAGTAGGCATTTCGGCAAATTTAAATAAAAATGAGAGAAGCTATTTAATATTATATTATCGAGACTCTGTAATATTTTAGATTTTGATCAATAAACATGAGAAAGTATTATTAAATTTTTAGTGTAATGAGAAACTTTGAATTTTATTAATTGTTTAGATTATCTGAGTATTTATGTAAAGCTTGTCCGGGGTTAATAAGTTTTAAAGGACAATACAGAAAAAAATTTTAAAAAATTATTTTTCTTTTTTCTGTATTTTTTTCACTGCATCGGCCCTTTACAAAATATTAATGAACATTTCATTTTCTTATAATATTATAGAAATTTTTGTTTATTATTGGAATGTTAAAATATTTTAGCTCGTTGGTCTAAGCGGAAAATTGTATTATTCGGTCTATCAATTTCTATCGCGACAAGATTTTGCTTCAATTAATTTTACATAATTATATGTACCAGTATTTTTTAAGGTTTTTATCAACTGGAAATACAATCGCCAGTGAACTGTTGAAATTGAATAGTGCGAAAGAGAAATGTAGAACAAATATTTGCCTATTCAATAAGGAAACTAGTCGAATTATTACGAAATTATCAAGAAACAAAATTGTCACCTTTAATCGCGTTTCCTAAATTTTAATATATTTTAAATTTTGGTGATTTCGAAAAATACCACGATTTATTAGAGCTGCTAATTAAATTTTTTTATTTCAAAATTTTGTAATGTTTTTTTTTTCGAACGGTCAATATTTCATTAAAATTTGTATTCTATATTCAAATAATTGATTTTTCGGATGAGCAAAATAAATATTATTTGTGAGCATTATTCAATCAACTTCCAGAAGCACTATTTCACCTCATTAAATAATTGTAAAACCACAATTCCCCCTCGCTATTTGCTTCCAATGTATGTCCACTAAGAAATATTCGAGAGGTTTTCTTGAAATGGGTTTTAAAATTTTGAGCACGACAAAAATAATTAAAAATTCCCCGCGAAATCTTCGACAATTTCGAAAATGTTCGAGAAATTCTCAAACTATTTGAGAATTCCTTGAGAAATGTTTGAATTTCCTGTGCAAAAAAAAAAATTAAAAACCCGAAAGAATTCTCGAGAAATCTTTGAAGTTTTTTTCGACATTATTCGAACTTATATTTATTTTCGAAGAATATCTCCAAAAACTTTGTTTGAGGGCATACACTGTCTGCTTTTCTGCAAATTTCTTACCTGAGCATTGAGCTCCATATGATTCTCAATGTCGTCAACGACATCTGTAAGTCCCAGCTCTCTTCGAATGCGGTCATTCTTTGGAACCGTCATATCATGACGGTTAATGATTAGTTTTGATTGGTATTGCTAAACAAAAATAAACTATCATTCAATTTGAATTTCTAGTCCCGCCCACCTTGACTAGTGGTTTTGCTTTAAGCGAGATTGTTCCCGGCAAATGGAAGAGTTTCTCGACAGTTCCGTAAGCTTTGAGCTTCATCAATTTTCTTGTTGGTGGCGACAAGTCGAGAGCATTGAGGGTATCGCTGAAATAGTTTGTAATTCCTAGTTATTCCAAATGAATTTCATACCGATAATTGTTCATGTTGTTTTTCATTTCTTCAGATGAGAGATTCTTGTACTCATCAACCATAAGCTTTCTCTTTTTCTTACGACGTTCCTGACGTTCATAATATGGGTCAACATTCATATCCAACTGCATCATATCCAGTGATTCCGAATCATCGCGGTACTCGATGGGTGTGTCGATTTGGCGACTAAGTCGTCGGGCTTCGGCTTCTTCCAATTGCTTGGCATTCATTTCTCGATTGCATGGCAGTACTCCGGAATTCATGCTCATAGCATCTGAAAGTTAAATTATTTTCTACTTATATTAAATTCTCTTTTGTTTCCTCCTATTAAAGTTTGTGCACTTTTAACAATTTTCCCAAATTCAGCTTGCTATTTTTATACTCACCATCAAAATCGTCATTTCCTTCATAATCCCCAATATCTTCATCAGTGAAAACAGTTTTTCCCGGGGCGTGCGCATTTTCCAAACATGGCGTTGGCTCGCGAGTCGATCCGTTATCGTTTCTAAATCAAAAGTAAACCAAAATTGATATTTAAAAATTTCTTCCTAACCCAAGAATACTATTCAAATCAAATCCATCTCGAAGATACTCCATAGTCAAATCCTCATTGTAGTTCGAATAATCTATTCCAGCTTCCATTTCTCCAAAGTCGTCATTCTAAATAATTAATTTTTCACATTGAAAAAAATTTTTTGTTGGCAATGTATCGGAATATCACTTGTTTACATGGTTTCCAAATATGGATACAAACATATACTATAAAAAATGTAAGCAGAATTTTCTCTAGCAAAATTGTAGGATTGACGTCAGTCTGCGTATTCAGCAAAGTTTCCTCTTTTAATCAAGAATATTCTCTTTATGCTAAAGTGCAAAAGTAACTAATCCCCCCAGCAATTTTATTACTACATCACTGATTTTATTTTTAATTTTTTCGCAATCAATCAGTACTTCATTCTTCAGCATGTGAACTTATTTTTCCATTGTTTTTCTTGAAATCTTCTTAACGCAACATTACTACAAACTATCCCGTGGTAAATGATGTCAATCTTTGTTCATTATTGAATATAATATTGTAACATTTACGCTCCATCAAAATACCGGTTCTACGCTTATAACGTTGGCCCTCTGAAGCTGTGTATTGATCTCATAATTCCAATGAACCTTGGTTTTCCAAATATAGAAAACTCGACAAATAGCTATGATGTGAGCCTATTCAGAATGTCGCCTAATTAGAGGTTGACCGTTTGTTGTTTACGTCAATCAAAAAATAATTATAGAGCACAAGTGTCAAGTATATGGTTTTCTACCGTAGTAAACATACCTCGAAATCCGTGAATCGGTTCGAATTTAGATTCGTCATATGATCCTCCTTGAGTGTGATTTCATCGAGACGAGTCTGACTCGCCTAAAACAAATGATCATAAAAATTCTGGACACTTTTTTAAACTTTTCACATAAAATTTGCTTAGATTAGTCATGTCAACAGTTTTTCTGTGAGGAAAGTTCTAACGAAAAAAAGAAACAATGTATTTTACGACGTTCGTATAATCGTCAGAACGATGACAAAATTTCGATGCGTGGGGTAGGTATACTGAGTCACTTGATAATTCTTATCTCTTCAATTTTATTTTCTAGTTTTGTCCAGTTTTTGCAACTTATTTAAATACTCGGCACTATTTGATGACGATAACTTCATTCAATTCCATTTTCTTACAATCATTATTTTTAAATTTATGATAAATATGAATTCGAAAATACAATTTCCCAAATCCCTTCCCCGTCTATTTCGGAAACAAAATTATTACTCTGAGTGGATTAGACTTCCGCTTCGTGCCTCTCAAATATGAGTTTTTTTTTTCTATTTCCGGGTAGCTCAAAATATTCTGCTTGAAAAGATTTGCACTTTTCAAAAAATTCTCGTTTGAATAGCTAGTTATTTACAATTTACCCCCCCCCCTATCCGTGAATATCTAATGCGACTGGGAAATGTAATTCACATGTAAACTTTGGTCTAAAAGTGCTGAAAATTTGCAGGTGATATTGCGAAACAACATAAGACACATTTTTCAAAGATATCAGAACCATATTCACCAGATTGTTTCCTACATTGGTTATTTTCTTATTAGCTACATAAAACTTATTAAGTTCGATCAAGTTTGCCTAATTTTTGTAATTTGAAAAACAAAAAAAACCGAGCAATTTTCTGATTTGTATTTTATTCGCTCAAATAAAACTTTGCATTTCGAATCATTTCGATCGTATGCGAATACAATTCAGCCAATTCTTTTCACAAACATTTGTCAACCGGTTTGCTATTCCTTGACTTTTTTCTCATTTTTCATTATTGCCAAATACTTACCGTTGACGCTGTTATGTAATCGGCATCGTTGAAATCTGGCAGCGTCATGTCAAAATCACCGAAAACATCGGGCATTGTAAACGATGAGAGTGTCGGTTCGTTAGGCTTATCAAGTTGTCCCGGGCGGAATGCGAGTTTGATTTTCAAAAATGCTTCGTTACAATCGGCGAGAAGGTATTTCGTCTTGCGCGAGTAAATTTTCACGATTCCCAACAACAAATGTCCTGTGGTTCGTAGGGCGATTTTTTGCTAAAAAAAATCAATTTTAACTTTTTCTTTTTCTTCTTTATTCAACCTTAGGCTCCATTATTTCCTCAACAGCCTCATCAACATTTGTCTCATAAATCTGCGCACGAGAAAGCTTTTTCTCCCAGTGAGCAGCGAGCCAAATTTTGGCTAACGGCCCCTTTTTCGAGAGCACAAATTGTGCGTAGAACATCTGCAAAAAAATTTCAATCAATTATTTGCCATGGTTCGACGATTCGGAAAAATACGAAAAATTCGAACAATAGATGATCATTAACCGGAAAAGGTCTCCAAACGCATTTCTCTAATGAGAAATCTAGCCTAGTGAAAACCCCGCCCATTTCTCCTGTTGTATAAAACATGGGCTTAATGTTGAGCTCTCTATCCGTTTCACACTAGATTACTTCCATTGCCTGCATATGAATATGTCTTCAAACATGCAAGGTTAGTTATATTAGATACTATATTAATATAATTGAGTTATGATGAGATCATTAATTAAGTAAACAAATAATGTATACTAGAGCATATTAATTTGAAAAGACGCCATTTCTGCTATATTATGCGAATTAAAGATAATTTCAATAAAAACGAGTAAAAGTTATGAATTTTATCAATGAAACATGACCAAAAATGATAGGACACCAAAAATGATAGGACACCAAGTTGATTGGAACAACGTTTGATAACATTTCCGATGAATGGGAAACAAAGGCAAATTAAGAAAACTGCTCAAATCTAGTTGAGAAGAGTGGCGAGTGCAAGTGTTAGCATTGCATATGCGCGCGGGGCGGCCGCGTCGCGGCCAGCGTTCGAATAATTCTCATTCACCCCAATCGCTATTTGATGGCTATTAATTTCACACCAAATTGATACCGCAAATTATCAATTTCAAATTTTGTTTTTTTGGGCTTCCCTGCTCGGGCTAGAAACGCAATTTGAGCTAATTTATGTTGGCTGAAAAAATTTTGAAGCGATTAGGCGCAAAATAAGGGATAATGAACAGGTTTTTTTTTCGAATTTCGAAACACTAATCACACTATTTCGCAATGCCATCGTTTGATATTTTTTGCGACATTACTTTCAACATATTCAATTCATTTTTACAGGCGAAATGAGCCGTGAGGAATTCAGCTTGGGAGGCTTGGGTAATTTAGCCCCAGCGAACGACCGCTCACAACTAATTCATCCCGCGCAACCGGATCGCTACCAATACGCTGCTCGTCGTTTAGAAGAGGCTCAGGGTAACTCTGGTTACCTTACACTCAATGGTAATGAGACAAATGATTGTAAATTTACAATTATTTTATTGTTTCAGGCCACCGCAGAAAGGTCGATTTCAAGGAATTGAAGAATATTGGCTATATCGGCCACGGAAGTTGCGGCACCGTTGAGAAATACGAATATGAAGGCGTTATAATGGCGGTTAAGGTATTTTGTTTTAATTATGTGCTCAAGTAAGTAATATAAAAATCGAATAGGCGATGCCGATTACTCAAAACAGTTATGAAGTTTCGCGAATCATGATGGACCTCACAGTCATCTGCAGATCGTTTGATTGCCCATACATTGTCAAATGCTATGGATATTTTATAACCAATGTAATTATTGAGTATTCAGGGTTTTTTCTCTTTTATAACAGGTTTGCTTTAGCAAAATGTCTACGTTTGCATGGAATGCATGGCAACTTGCCTTGATCGTCTCCTTAAGCTCATTCAGCAGCCAATCCCGGAAAACATAATTGGAGTGCTTTGCGTTAGCATTGTTAAGGCTTTGCATTATTTGAAGCATACTCATGTGAGCACATATTAAGCTTCGTTTCTTCAATGATTCGATTTTAGAAGATTATGCATCGTGATGTGAAACCATCGAACATTCTTTTGGATTGGAATGGCACTATTAAGCTTTGCGATTTCGGAATTGCTGGTCAATTGATCGAATCGCGCGCCCACTCACGTCAGGCAGGATGTCCGCTTTACATGGGACCAGAGAGATTGGATCCCAACGTAGGACATTTCCGGTTAATAACAAGGCTCTGGGGTTTTTTTTAGAATCAGGATTCCTATGACATTCGTAGTGATGTTTGGTCATTTGGGCTCACATTGGTTGAATTGGCCACTGGAAAGTATCCGTTTCCGGGAAATGAGTTCGAAATGATGATGAGCATCATCAATGATGATCCACCGCGCTTGAAGCCGTCTGATGGATTCACACCGATGTTTTGCAATCTTGTTGAGCAATGCTTGCAGAAAAAACCAGAGAACCGTCCAAACTATGACGAGCTTCTCGTAAGTTTTTGCAAAATAAAAATGGAGCATTGAAGGGATCAAAAACTAGATTTGCAAATGCCGCTTGCAACTTGTTTCCAAAGTTATGAAAAGGGGGGGGGGTTGTGGGAGACTCTCATAGACATACATGTCAAGACGAATTTGATTGCAACGTGACTTTTGACAAATGTTCAAACGAGGGTTCTTTGACATCAAGTTGCTAGTCCGATTGCAAGCTTATTTTGATGCATTGTTTCAAAATAGTATTTGAACGGAATATTTGAAAAAAAAAAACAAATTTGGCTAAAACGACGAAGAAAAAATGGAATGGAGGTGAATATGAATATTTTATCAAACTAAGCAAACAATTTAAATGTCAAATTACTCAGCATAAATTGAGGAGCAATTTTGAAGGAATTGCAAGTAAATTTTTTTGATAGCATGACAATATGCATGATGATTTCTCGGAAATACCAACGCCCGCTTTCTTATGAATATTCATGAGTTTTACTATTAATAGAAGAAATTTTGAAAAGCAACTAGACCATATCTGCACTGAAGTTGGCTTTCAATTTAATTTATTCAGTAAATTCATTAAGCTATTGAGAGATGTGTAGAATATGTCTATTGAAATTTTTCATATAATGATATTGTAGGAGCACCCATTTCTGGAGCATTACCAGAACACTTCGATTGACGTCGAAGGCTGGTTCTCCGACGTCATGGAGGGCAGGTGAGCACTCGGACGCATCAAGTTGTGGATAATTATTCCAGTACACATAAATCTCATTAACAACCCACAAAACATTTCTATCAAAATTTCTATTGTCACATATGTATCTACAATATTCATAGTTGTTTATGTATCAATTCCGATTCGTTCTGAAATATTCGCCGTAAATGTCGCAAATTCGTCAAATCTTTAGCTGAGGGGTTTAGGAGTTTGAATTTTTGGGTTCATTTAAGAGATAGGTACGCTTACGAAATATCTCTTTTGCGATTATTGGCTCTGTTCGTTCATTTCTACGCAATTCTTCGGCAAAAAGAAGAAGCAGCAAAACGAAAGAACCAAACAACATTTTTAAAGCGGCAGAAAAGATTCGAGAAAAAAAAATAAAAGTAATGCCAATAAAACCGAAGAAATTGACTAACTCTAGAAATAAATAAAGAACTGACGAAAAAACAGAGCCAACAACAGCCAAAGTCGTGGCAAACCTACCATGTGACCCATAATGTATTCGGACCATCCCCTTTAGAAAATTTTACTTTTCGTTTCTTTCGCGCTATTTTCCTTTAAAAATAATATTAATACTAATCCCATCTCCCCCCCCCCCTATCATATTTTCCGCATTCTTTCCAGCAATTTCTTTGTATTTGTGATGATTCGACAAAAGAAACAACGAAATAGTCAAAAAATACATTATTTGTGATTGTCCAACTCTCTTCCCCCTGTTTTTCAATTCTTCAACTATATGTTTCAACAAAGATCATTTATTTTGGCTAATAAATATAATACTGTCAACCGATTAATTGATGATAATCATGCTTAAGATCTGATATTGTTTCAGCTTTTTTTTATAGAATATTGGATGGGATGCAGCTCAAAAATGGAGAAAACTCTCACGCAATTCTATTGGCAAGTCACAAAATGCTAATAAGGTTTTGAAGGAAGATATTTGGAAAAGTTTCCAAATTTACAAAAGAGTTAGATTAGAGAAAATTGGTCAGAAAATCGCATTGAAATATTAATAACCCTGGATTATCACATTTTGACTACCGGGCGCACTGTTTTTTGAATATCAACAAATGAAATTTAATTTCAAACATCTGCGGACATTCCGTGATGCGCCACATTTAGAAGTGTGGTGTTGTTTGCGATAGCGGCACATCAAACCATGCCCTGGAAGGATGTTTTTTTTTCTGTGCAACGATGACTTAATGAATACACTTAATAGCGCAATAAGTTCACAAAAGTTCTAAGATAGTCAATTTTAGCAATATTTAATTAGTGGATTGATGGAAGACGCGGTTAGCTCACGACTTTTTTTGTCCTCCTTTGATCTCAAACTGAATTTTCGAAAATGAATAAAAAACCGATTTCAGTTCATTTACAAAAAATTTGTTATCCCTACAACATTTTCTTGGTAGCTGTGTTTCATTAAAATCCCAAATGAATTGTTATTGGGGTGTGGGCGACGGACCTCGTCTAAATACTCAATTACGCGGTCCTCTCCGGTAGCTATAGCAACCGGCAGCTCTGACTCAGTACCTCGCGCGTCGTGCTGTTCGTATTGCGCGTTGCATACAAATCATATTAAAAATGTCGCTAGAAATCGAAGGTTAGTTTCTTATTAACTATTTTCAACCTACACAATTGTTAATTAAAGGTCAATCAGCGAAAGTGAGAAGTCGTCCGAAAACAGCTGGACGAGCAAAAATGACTAGGTGAGTTGGCAATATCGATGGATTATTCCACGATTCGTGACGAAATTTTATCACAAATTCAAAATAGCTCTAAAAGTGCAAATGTCAAGAATGAAGGATGGGAAACGAAAGAAGCGCAGGAAACGAAACTTAGTGATCAATTCACGACAAGCTTACAGCAACAAATCAAAATGCTGCAAATTGAGAACGCGTTTTTGTGAGTATTAGAATCATCATTGAATTGAATTGATTTAATCTAAAATTTAGACGAAATCAAACGAATACCGAAAATGAATGTAAAATACAATCAAATGTGCCGCATCATCGCTCTGTAAACGAGGTATGCCTATTTCGGTTGTGCTAACGACAATAATCTATATAATACGATATTTTCTGTGCATTATTTATAAAAATCTATCTGAATCAAAGAGGTGCGGAAAAAAGAGTTGCTAATGGGGGTGCGCACGACCTGTGCGATGGTTTTTGATGGTTGGCACCGCTTAGAATGAACACAAGTTTTTGGCCGATTGTGCTAATTTCTGAACAATATGAATGCAATTTAATGGTAATTCTTAATTTTCAAAGCTTGTAGATGCATTAAACAACAAAAAAAATATTTTTTTAAAGTTATTTATGCGCGTCACCAACTGTTTGAAATTACGTAAAGTTACTAGTTAGATTGCATTTTTATTAGAAACGCTCCGCTTATAATAGTAAATGGCTGAAATGTGCATTTCACAATTATATGTTACAGATATCTGTAAACGCTGGCGAAACATGGTGTCAACTTCCGCCATTTCATCCTCCCGTTCACGCGCTGATACCGGAAAAAGCTGCTCAACGATTCAAAAGATTCTCTCACGAAGTTCCGGAAGTTCGAAACTTTCGAGATCACAGTATGCCGCGATCGACAACGAATTCGTTGCGGTATTGCTTTGGTTCAAACAAAATTTCGTGGAAATTTAAATTACAGCGATAAATCTTCTAGTTTTATTGTCAGCGAATCAGATCTTCTTGTTGATTTGGAGCAAAACGAAAGGGTGTGTTTTAAATGGTTGCGGCTAGAAGACGAAAACGCAATTACAGAAAAATGCTGTTCTTGAACGTCAACTTAGGCATTCGAAACAACGAGAACAGGATCAGGAGAAGGTGATCAACTCATTGAGCGCCAAGATTAAGGAACTTGAAGAGAAGAATCAACAATTAACGGGTTTGCGATAAAAGAAAAGCGAACTAGCCTCTTACTATTCTATCAGGATACGCGAACACCGAGAAACGAGCCCTTATGGAAGAGGTGCTGGAATTGCAGAAGAGAATCGATGAGATGACGCCGGCAATTGCTGAAAAAGAAATGAAGTACAAATTAGAAATTAATTTTTTAAAGCATCAATTCGAAAATTAAAGAATAGCGCAAATTGAGAACGAGCGAGCTGAAATTGCAAACAAGTTGAGGAACGCGAACGTCGAGCAATCGAATCTTCAGGTGTGGCGGTAGAAAGCGTTGTAAAAAATTGCGTTATCATTCAGATCGAAATATCACAGCTTAGAGAAGACATTTCAATAAAGAACAATAAGCTGAAGCGTATGGGCGATGACGCCAAATTATTGGAATCGAAAATCCAATCTTTGGAGCGAACAATAGATGATTTGAAAATTCGAGAAGCGAAGTGTTTGGTAATTCGGATTTTCAGAGAATCCGATATGAACTGATTACATTTTAGGATGAAATTAGTCATTACTCGGAGAAGGTTCGGGAACTTGAATTGATTTGCGTTAATGATAAACGTCTCATCGATCAGGTGAGTTGAACGTATATGCCAAGAAAAAACGTGCATGATTCATCTATGTTCATACATACGCTGAATCAATTTCCTCCCCACCCCTCCATTTTTCGCACTTGTTTCCATTTTTTAGGCAAAGGAGGAGAATACGTTATTGATTAAGGAGAACGCAAAAATTTCGACAAAACTTTCGCATTTCGAGAAAAAAGAGACTGAAACGGTGAGAGTTGAGAAGCGAGAAGTTATTCACAGTGATGAGGAATTTGAGGAAGTAGGCTGAATTGAATGAATTCATTTTCATTATTTTGCAATATTTTAGATGCGGAGGGCTTTGGAATCGGAACAATCAAATGTGGTATCTCTTAACGCGAAACTAGAAATTTTTAAGCAGCGCTGCAATGACTTACAGATGGCGGTATTTGAAAATTTGTGAATGCCTAAATGACAAGTTATTACAGCTATCAGAGCACGAGCTCATCGATGAGCAGCAAGCAAGTGAGCGACGACGTGTGGAAAAGGAGCTGAACGCTCTTCATGCACTTTCCAAGTAAAAACCGTCCTTACATGCGTTCTGATAGCATTATGTTTTCAGATCCCTCTCGTCAGAAAACAAAATTTTGAGAGAGGATAAACTGGCAACTGATGAAATCATATCGGATTTAAAACTGAAAGTGGGAGGATAAGCAGCATTGAACAGAAAATAAAGAAGAGCAAAAAATCAATTTCAGGTGAAAACGCTTGAAAACAACGCAAAAGCATCAGAGGAACTGTTCTTGGAGAAGAAGAAAATGCACGCGGCCAAGATTCTCGAGCTCGAAGAAGAAGCATTAAGAAAACATCAAAAGTATCTCCGTCAAATCCTATAACTTTTACAATGCATTTCGTTCAGGTACCTGGAATTTGAAGAACTTTCCAAGACGCTTCACCAAATTACTTCACTGCTGCCGAGCAAGACATCGAGCATGACTTATGAATGCAAGAAATGAGTCACATCTCCTTCTAATTACTTGTTATTGTGTTATCTCGAACGCACTGAAATTAATCATCCGTTATATGAAATGAACTCAACGTCGCCAATTTCAATCATCATTCCCCTCTCTCTCTCTCTCTAATAAACCCTTATTCCAAAATAGATAAAAATTTTGTTCGACGTTAAATTGTTACGTAAGAACAAACGGAAACGACGTTCTAAATTTAGGAAATAGCTTGTTAAATACAAAACGAAAAATTCAATGGACTAATGCAGCCAATTCCGAGCTTTCAAGCATTACATGTTGGATATTTTCCATATAAAGTACACATTACTCTTTGTCGAATCCCGAATCATATCCTGAACCATAACGTACCCATCATGTCGCTCGTTTCTTTCTGCCCGTCTAGTTTTAATGCGATGCATTGTCTTCGCTAATGCGTCAAAAATCACATTAGAATTTTTTTTTGATTTATGTATGTATGTATTACCCGTTAAATATATAGCGCTCTACTATTTTTCTAGCAGTGCTTGACATTTTACTGAAAAGGTTTCTTTATGTTATTTCAGGCATCTCAACAAAGAATGTATAGAAATCGTTTTGTATTCGTAGAACTGATTCAAGTTAATGGCAATTTCACTTTTTATTTGCATTGTTTCTCAAATGGCTCATCTCTCATTTCCACGACTTCCTGAGGTCCGTTGAAAAATTTCAACCATGTTTGCCATTCTTCGCTCTCTCTCATACAATGTTTTCACATCACAAAAATTATTCATAAAATATAACAGCTTCAACTACTTAAAAATGAACCATCCCTCAGCTTCTATTGTTTCTTTTGTTTTTATGCTGGCTTCTCGAAACACACACGCACGCTCTCGCATTGTAGAAACGCAGACAGTTGGAGCGTCAGTAGCGCGCATATGCTCCTTTTTTCTTTAGTTTGAATTATTCAAACCGCATCGATCTCCACGTTGTCGCCTCCGGCGCTTCATTCGACATTTAGGCAGCCAAGATTGTCGATTAAATGAAGCGGGCAGCGAGACGATTTGTCACAAAACACCCACACTTTGTGTTGAAGCTTATCTGTATAGTATTACTATTTTCATTAATCGTATACCTTAAATCTAACGCTGATGCAAAGCGAGAGGTAAGAGTTTCCATCAGCCGTTCATTCAAAACACAAAACCAAATGTAGGCTAAACAGCAAAACTCCAAGGGTCGCTTCGATGCTCCTTCTTCGCAACAGGTTACCCATTTGTAGATTGTTTCACAGAATTAAAAAGCCTACTTACAGGATGATCTCAACCTCGTCAAGCCGAGCACAGAGTTTATAGCACATGTTCTGGTGTTCTGTTCGATGAGACCTGATGCTCTTAGGAATCATTTATCTCAATTGTTAAGGTATTCATTTTTTTTACATTTTAGAACTGAATAGTGAAGATTTTTCGAATAATAAAAAAAGAAGCAGAAAAGAAAATTAAACGATCGCATAAAAATTTGAAAACTATTCATTCTATGACTGAGTTACTGGCTGACTCATTATGGCATTTCAATTTTATGTATTTGAATTGAATTAGAATATTGGAATATTTTTCTCGTGTTTCGAAAATCAATTGATTAATGACATGGAGAATAATATGTTTACATCGCTTGAAGTGTTTTCCATGACATCATCAACCAACAATAATATTACAATCAAACCAAATTTGTAGGCAGCGACCAACTTCTAGTTCTTACAAAATTGTGATTAGTCAAGATGGGAATAATGGAGCAGTTCGACATGTCGCCAATAAATTTAAAGAGGACTTTAAGAACGTTTCTTACATTCAGGTTTGTTTGAGTTCCCTATTTTACGATAATTGATGACTTGTTCATTTCTGAAATCGAACATTTAATAGCTCGTTTCCATCTTAATGTCGTATTTTTTTCAGCACGAAAGAGTCAAAACCAAGAAGGGAAACAATTATCCGGCGATTTCGGCGCATTATAAATGGGCACTTGACAAGGTCTTTTTTGAAATGAACGCTGAACATGTAATTGTGACTGAAGGTTGGCATATATGAATAAAAATTGTATATTTGCTTCTTGTTTTATAGATGATTTGGACATTGGCAATGACTTTTTCTCGTATTTTCAATGGGGAAAGAAGGTTTTGGATAGTGACAAAACAGTTTGGTGCATTTCGGCGTGGAATGACAATGGCGCTAGGAATTTAGTTAATCAGGAAGATGCTGATAAATTGTGGAGAACGGATTTTTTCCCAGGACTTGGTAAAAATTCTGACACGTCTATACGAAAAAATATGGTTAATTTGAAGGTTGGATGCTTACAAAATCACTCTGGGAAGAGCTCTCACCAATATTTCCATCGAGCTATTGGGATGATTGGATGAGAAGCCCGAGTGTTCGCAAAAATCGCAGTTGCATTCGACCAGAACTAAGTAGAACTAGTCATAATATGAAACTTGCCGGAAAAGGCTCTAGCGGGTAATTAATGACAAAAATGCAACTTATTTATTTTTATTTATTTATTCAGGGGATTATTCAAAGATTTCTTGAGCAAAATAGAAGCGTCAAAGAATTTCATTGAATTCATGTGGATTCCAACATCTGTTGTGGAAAAGAGCAACTACGACAAGAAGTTGGCCGAAGAGATCAAGGTGATCAATCATTTCTTGATCGCCTCAGTAGAGATGTTTTTAGAACGCGAAGCTTGTGAATATGACCGAATTGCATCTTCTCGACATTTCCGATTCGCACAACTACAAGTAATGTTTGCTTTTATGGAAAAATAATCCCCAAGCGATTTTAGTTCTTTTTGGTGCAATATCGAACTTTTTTTGCACATCTTGATAAAATGTTCCAATTTTTCTGAAATTTTCTTTATTTTATCATCATACAATGGTTTTTTTTTTGCAGAGTCGCATTTGACAATGTGCGAAAATGGAATGAAATCGCCAAGTTCTTCAAAATAATGACGGATATTAGGGTATTAAATTTTAAGCCGTCCTTCGTATGAAATGCATTTTTCCATTAGGGTGGGATGCAGCGAACAGCATATTATGGCGTCGTTACGCTAATGTACCAAGAGGCGCGTTTTTATATTGTTCCCGAGGAGACTGCAAACAATCCCAACCAGCTAACAAGTTATGTGTATGATGAGAAGTGGGACAAACAGAATCGATTTCTCGAGTTTGAAGCCTTCTATTGCAAGAGCAAGAAGTAATCAATAATTCGACAAGCCAAATTTCGAACCGAATTTTTCAGATACACTGGAAAATGCGACCCGCATAGCCCGGAAATGTTTGAATTTTTCACAAAGAAGGGCTGGAAAAAGCGTCTAGCCGATTGGGGAGAGATGATAGTCGTTTAGTACAGTCCGCAAACAATCCGACAAATATCGAAAGTGAGTCATTTTCATACAATAATACTCGGCAAGAATGGCCGGTGCTCTGCTGATGGTTTTATTAATACTTGTCAATTCGATTCATGGCTATATTAACTGTGTGAATTCAATGTATGGCGAGCCTATAACAATAGTACAATGCGCTACTAATTTTTGCAAACGTTACACTTCTGGCAACGGAAAAGTGAATCCAGAGGGCGTTATCTTACAATAATTAATAAGTTTTTTGTTTCAGCTTCAGCTATCCTGCGACGATACGGGTGATTGTAAGCGCACATTCCAAAGCGTCTTTTCGGTTCCGGTTCAGGTATCAAGGTTATACATAATGCCAAATGGCAATTCTTTTAGATTTATTCGTGTATGGCTGACCAATCGACACGTCAAACGTGTTGTTGCAACTATGATTATTGTAATTCTTCAAACATGCCGCATATTCAACTTGCCATAATCAGTTTCGTCAGTATAACATGTCATAGCTTTTTTCCGATCTTCTAAGTCTTGTATTGCTTAATCAATTATACTGCTGTCATTTTTCTTGCTTAGATAGCATAATTTCAAAATTGAAAACATTCATTCCCCTATTGTTTTGTCTTATTCCTGTGATAAAATTTTCGACAACCTAGTATGATGAGAAACATGTTATTAAGCACAATTATAGAATACATTCCAAGAATGCGTCGCTGTAAACAACTCCAAACACGACTTGAGTCACGCGAGTATAAATCAGCAGATTTCTCACCTTTTGTGAAAGGAACCAGGTAGTCAAAATGCACCTGCACTTTTAATGTAAAGTTCAATATGAATCATCATGTGGGCTCGAATTGAATTTATTAAATTAAGTATTACGGTTACTAAGCTAATCATTATTCATTGAAAAAATATATATCATCGGTAAGTTCCATTCCGTTCAAGTTTAAAGAGGATAGAAAATAATTAAAATGATTAAGATAAAAAATAAGGTAATCATTATGTTGATTGATTGAAGAGTATCAAACTGGCAAGAATCCGTTTTACCAAATGTAATCATCAGCTTCCTCTTCATCAGTAGCTTCCTCATCTTCCTCATCATCGAACTCATTATAACGATGAACGTTTCCCTCGTTATTGGAATCGTCGAGATTGTGGTTCCATTCCAACAATGGTGCCATGTTAACTGAAATATTAAAATTCATATGTAATTGATCAATTTCTCAATTATTATTATTATCCAATTAAACATTTACTGAGCCGATATTGAAAAATTACCGTGGATGTCATCATCGAGGATCATATTGTAGTAAGCTTCCGGATAGTAATCTGCTTCCTCATCGAAACGACGAATTTCATCCGGATCAAAGAAAAGTGGATCCTCGAGAGGAATCAACGGCGGCATTCTCGGCGGTTGGCGAATGATTGGCAGCACTATAAGTAAAAAAAGATTATTCTTAATGTTTAACGTTTTTTGGCTACTTGGCTGCTCTGGAATTTGTGCGATGCGGTGTATGGCGTCCAAAATTTCCTGATTAGGTGGAATCGGAATGTTGTTGTCTGGTGGCGGAGTCTCAACGCGATATCCATTGAAGCGTCGAACATCCGGGAAGAACACTGAAACGAGCCAATCATGACGAATATTGTGATAAATTTTACGATTTCTTCGCGGCATTTCCTCGAGTGGTGGTGGTGGCTCTTCTCCGGCAGGTCGAAGGCGTAGTCGCTCTGTAACAGTTAAGTCAGCACTAGATTTGGTCAGTTTATTGCAGCGGCATGCCTCTTAGAAGTTCCGCTCCTGGATGAGGAAGCGGAGGAATATCTTCGTCGTCCGAACTGTCATCATTTGGAGCTGGCTGCTCTTCATCATCTAGTAGTTTACAAAATAATTCAACATGACTTTTTTTCAATGTCAAACCTCTTAGAAAATCCAGCGGTGGTGGAAGAACCTCCGGCGGTACTCCCGCCAGAATTGCAGCGTGTATCGCCTCGTCGGCGCGATTAGTCACTCCTATAAACTTCGCTTTAACAGAAACAAATCGTTTCCCATCAAACTTCTAATGAATTCCATTACTGGTGGCTCGTTCGGATCGGGAGCCGCTTGTGGCGCTTCCACATCTGGTTGAACAATGTCAGCAGCAGCAGCAGCGATAGGAGCACCTTCTGCACCGACAACCGCAACGCTGCCATCGATTCCATTCTTTTCTCTGTCGAGACGACGTTGAGTCTCAGGACTCTTCATAATTACCTGAATAAATTATGTAAATTATCAACGAAGCACAAAAAAAACGGCGAAAAGTGTGAATATTGAGATAGACAAAAGTAGTGAATGTGTAAGAATTAAAAAAGTGGAAGCGCGTTAATTGAAATCAAATTTATCAAGTACGTACGCATTGCATCTTGATGGATACAAGAGAATAATGAAACCGACAAGCGCGAGCTCACAGGGGTTGCTTAGCTACGAATAACAACGATAAGGAAGTGTGTACGGGCGAGAGATAAGAAACGGACGCGTTCTCGGCGAATACACTGACACCACACAAATTTCGTTCAAAAAATCGGGGGCACCGTCTGCCAAGCGGTGTGCTCTCGTTTGATGCGACATTCTCGCGTTATAGATTTAGGCGAACGAAAGAAGAAGCAGAGTGCAGGCGTTTCAAATATTTTTTTTATTGGCCAACGTTATTTTCGAAGCATCATTTGCAATTGAGCGCGTTTGCAACTGGTTTAGGCCAAACGTTGTTGAAGGTCGGCGAAGATTTTAATTAAAAAAAAAACGAAGCAAAATGAAATATGTAGGCGTTGATGAAATAACGCGGAAAACGATAAAAGATTTCACACAGTTCTTGCAATAACCTTTATTAACATTACACAGCGTGAAGATTAAATTTTAAGAAAAAAGGGACCAAGGTCTGAACGAAATGACAGTGAAAATGCAAGAAAGCAACGATGATCGAAGAGAACAGTTTTTGAAATTGATAAGATTACGCCTCGTTTTCAATGACTGCTTTGAAGTTCATTAAATTGGGGAGATATGCGCTATATAGCAACACCGGTCAAAGAAAAAAGAATATGGACTGGATGTAAATACTCATATTATGACGAGATTGTTTGTGAATTGTCATGGTATCTGTACAGATTTTAGAGGAAACAACTCAAATAAGGTTAAAAGCAGTTTTTTTTAAATCATAATAGGGGTTTTAGAGTTGTTTCACCCAAAAAAATATCTGCATAGTACCATTACAAACTAATCATGCCTAAATACGATTATTCAATGGGCTTTGTTGGCAAAGTGTTGAAAGATATAATTCGAAAACATTCACAATAAATTAGAAGAAATAAAAATATTATTCCTTGGGCTTGACGATTTTGCGAAACTCGTGGGTAAATGTCAAATCGTCTCCAAAGACGCGAATTCTACTTTCGATGAACGATTTTGCCTAAATATGATAATTAATCAAGTGATGATATTAATTATTTTCATACTCTCTCCAAATAGAGCTCTTCTTCACTTTCATCTTTTGGGTATATGTGAGCAATTTTTAAATACTCGGGAAAATACTGGAAAAACATTTTCAGAATATAAAACTATTTTGAATAAATATATCTACCTCGATAATGAGCTCCTCGACTTTGGACTCAGTGTAATTTTTGCCCTGCTTATTCGCGCTGCCATTAATCACTTCCTTGAAGAGATTTCTCAATTTTATAGTAAACTTCTGCTCGTATTCGCTCAAATCCATACGAGGCTTCCTAGAAAATGTTTGATTATTAGCATCTGCCGAAAAAATTTTTTCAATTACTTGTCGCTTCGCAATTTGTAGCCTTTGAGCGGATGAAGTACCTCTCCTGGACGCGGAGTTCGAATACCTACACTCGTGAGTGGTGTGAGACCGCGGTCTTCAAATATTCTCTTTATCATTTTATTGTAAAAAACAAAATTTTGATTTTTTTTTCTTCGAATATTTAAATGATTGAACATAGTTCTTTTGATTTGCAATGTTCTAAATTTTTCAGAAAAATTGTTAATGTATTATTCATGCTGTTTGATTATTTTCAATGGATAAAAGCGCGCTCAAAACTGTGTATTGAAGAAAAACCTTGCCTAAATTCTTGTCTTCTATTATTCAATGGTTTGAAAACTGATTTTGTGTAATTACTCGGCATATCCCAATTTTCCATTTAGGCAGTCTTTTCAACCTGATGTAAACTATCTCTATTTTTAGATAAAACTTCAAAAGTCCATGTTTCATAGAACGCTTATATTTTCCGTAAAGCTTTATATATCGAAAATACGAGTAGCGTCAAAAACTTTCATTTTTCATATTTAATAAGTTCAAATTTTAACGAGTTTACCTACGGACGACTCCGTCAAAATCTTGAGCAATTCCGGTGTGAGGTTACCGGGAGCAATTGAATCTGCCATTTTGTACCTAAATTCAAATAAATGCTTGATGAAAAAAAAATACTTCAAAAAATTTGAAAACGCATAATTTATTTGAAGAAGGGTGAAAAAATGTGAGACTAGAGACGCAGACGAGAAAGCGTTGCTTACTAGAACCTTCTTTTACTTCGTATACCGACTACTAAACCAGTGAAAAACCTGAGTTATGCATTTTAGAGAGCAATAGTGAAACCTGGCCGACAGCCAATTCTGGGCAAGGGAGATTCGATGAACTGAAATGTGAAAAGAGTTTGCATAGAAAAAGAGAAGCATGTTTGCACTACGTCATTTAAAATTTTTCTTCGGGCTATTTAGGAAAAGTAATTAAGAAAAAAAAATACGTATACTCTTTCCAATCTCGATAAAACATAAAACTTTCAAGAAAAAAGAGGGATGATTTCGCAAAAAAAAAAATTGAATTCAGAGTTTGACATCAATAAACTGCTAGAATAAATAATAATAAAAATAGGAGCCTATTCATTATTTGAGGATTTTTAATGAAGTGAAACAGCAACAGTATCAGAGGTACTTGTCAATCAAGTTTGATTTGAACGACTGTATTGATATCATGACCACCTGTCCCATAAAATTGATTTCCTCGCGAAATGTTGATGACAAGAAAATTGAGACCACTTTGCCAACATATTTATTAACAGTATGCCTATTATCAGTATTTATTCACAACTCAGTAGGCGTCATTTCGCAGTTTTCATCTGGTTTGATTGGAATATTGGAATGCTTCAATTCGTCAACAACATCATTGATATGGCGATCTTTGGTTTCCGGTAGATAAATAATCAAAAGCAAAATGCATATTGCTCCAGGTAGAACGAAGAATAGAATAATAACACTTGGCCCTAAAGATAGAAGGTTCACTTGGATGCAAATTCAATAATTACCTATCAGTTTATACAATGGGAAGGTGAGGAAAGTCACAATCAATGCAACGAAATGATTTGTTGCAAGAACCAGGCATTGGGCAGCGGCGCGGCAACTTATTGGAACCAACTCGGAAGTGATGAACCAGGCAATTGGTCTCAACGCGATACTGAAATTATACTTTGCAGGTATCATCTAGAATAGAATTATTTACCTGTATGAAATTCCGTGAAGAATTAGTGCCAATATGCATCCAATGCTTACTTCGGGGTAATAGACAGATCCAATTGCGCTAAGGGAAAACATTGACAACGCACAAACGTTGACGATGGCGCAGATAATCAAAAGCCATTTCCTAGAAAATCTCTCGACAACCACCATTCCAGCGATAGTTGACAATGTACTGAAAATTTCTACACTTTCTATATTTGCTAGGTAATCGGGTTCACCTTAGGAAGAGCATTAAACTTGAAACGCCTTCAGCAACATCATAGGAAAATTTCACATCCAAGAGGAAGTCTGTTGAGTAAAAAAGGACAGGCCAAACCGAGATGGTTAGTTGCATTGTGCAGAATCCCAACAGGAATCCTCGACGATAATGTTGAACGGAAATAATGTCGAAGATCGTTTCATTGTGCCTCGTTCGCAATTCGATTCGTTCTAATTCCAATTCATTGAGAGCTTTATTTCGTATATCTTCATCTTAAATATTGCCAATTTTAATTTTCACGACTTCAATAATTTACCTCGAATGTTCTGATAAAACTTCAACGACTTTCCCGCGTCTTCACCATCGTTCTTTCTTATATATAGGTACTTTGGAGATTCCCGCAAAAAGAATGAGAGAACCGCTGCCAGGGTTGAAGGAATCATTGATACACTAAAGTATTGTTTTTTGTCATTCCAAGTTTGTCGCAATATACCTGATAAGCTTCACAAGATTCGTCCCCAATACAGCTTTCATACCACAAATTCCGCCAATTAAGTTCGTAGCGACAAATGCCATTTCTGCATTAAACGATACGAGTCCTTTCATATGATTCGGGGCGCTTTCCTAAAAATAATGTTCATTTCAGGTAGCTCTAATGATCACCTGAAACAATAAAATCATTCCGTTCATCGAAATTGCCGCGGAAGAAGACATTATCAATCGGGAGATGCCAAAACATATTATTGAGCTGTGTATAACACCCATCAATGCGATCACAGTCGATAACAATCCACCAATGTTGCCCAAGAACAAAGTCCCTGAAATTTGGTTTTACAGATAAATCATAGCTTAAAGCGCCTAACATTTCCTTCCAATTCGGTCCGCGATTCCAGCAGATAACACACTTCCGGAAGCGAATCCAACAAAGTAAACCGCTAATAAAGCCGACCAAATCCATTCAAACTCCGCATTGCTCATATCGTTTTCGGTGCTATGCGAAGAATTGAGAAATTTCCGAAACGTGCCGATCGCCGTATTTGGATACGCGTTTGTATAACCCATCTTTAATGATTAATAGATAAACGACTTCATCATAAACGACAACCACGTACCTGAAATATTGACGTCATCGCAAGAAGCATCGACATTGCCAGCAATCGTAAATCGATTTTCGCCATATTGGCATATATTTCTATTGAGAATGATCCTTATTGACTTTTTCAGCTTCTCAAGAACAATTTTTCTCCTGCAATGACCATGTATTCAATTACGATGTTAAACAATGAAGACATCAATTTTCGCAGTGAAAAAGATAAGATAATGTGTAATTGCATCATGTTTTTTTTTATTTAAAAAAATTGTGTTTGTCTACAGATTTGCCAAAAAATGTACTTAACTTGTGATAATTAGTATATTAAATAAAAACATGCTTCTGCATTGTTGCGTCGATTGTGATGTGCACAAAGAAATGAATATCATTTTACTCCCACGGGGGAGAGACAACACAAGCACGCATAAACACTGGACTGCGTTTACTCAACTAATGAAGATGCTCTCCGTTTTCTAAGACATCGAAATTCAGTGAAAAAAAAACAGAAATTAGATATTCATCACCGCTAGTGTTACTATGGATACGAATGCGGGCCGAGCAATTTCTTCACTTTGTGCGGGAAAAACATTTTTACCACGAAATTCGATATTCATGCTTTATACTTTCAAATATCTAAAAAATGTTTAAAAGCATTTGTGGGCCGCAGAAAATACGCCAATTTTGTCAACAATGTCAATGCTGCGAATCAACGCGTCGTTGTTGAAGACAATGAATTCCATCGCCTAAAATGGTCGAAATTTAATTAAAATTTTTGTTTTTAATTAAACCTCAACATTTGAGCACGTGGCGTCAGCCTGCGTTTTTGTTTCTTCAATCTAAACCCATAAAAATAATCCCAAAATGATATGAAATGTCACGTACCCGTCCGTAGAGGGAATTAACAATACCAACTTGAATCCAGACATCTTCCTCGTTCAACGCGCATTCCAACGGAGCGCCTATGTCATCCCAGCAAGCAGTTCCAGTTGTGTTGGAGTAGATTTCAGAGAACATGACAGATTTTCCCTCATATTGCAATTCAAGCTCAAGAACCTGAGCTTTGTTGGATTTGTGGAAATCGTCAACTGAAAAATCAACGTCTGAATTAATTTGATGATGTTTAGACACCTTTGTCAACGGTTTCAAATCCAACAATTCTGCAACGAAGTTTGGCCAATTCTTTTGGATCGACGAGATGAAATGATCCTTCAGTGAGTGATGGCTTGAAGTTGAGACGCGAAATTCTTGATGGGTGTGGCGGTTTGTCGCAAAACTGAAAATTATATCGACAAATTTGCGACAATTTTTCTACAACATACTCTTCTGCTCACAATTGTGTCGATTCTCATTACTGCGATATCCTCATCAATGCGGAATTCAAGCATCGCTTTTCTCATGACTTTCCTAGATCCCGGAACGGCAATGATTGCCATTGCTTCATATTCCCTGTAAATATAAACTGTGGGGTAAAATTAAGTCAAAATTGATTACATTTCTGGATTTGGGAAGCATTTGGCGCTTGTGAGAACGGCGCTTTCGGAAATCAATGATCCAGTACAAGTTGTCCCATTTTTCGATTTTAATTCGCGAGCGAGAACCTGGAAACAATACCATTAAAATTGAAATCTATGAACAATGGCCTTACTTTGACTATATATGGGTATCTGTGCCATTTAACGGACTCAGCATTGTATAGACACGTTCCGCAAACGAAGAAAATCGAGAGAAGGGCGATCCGATTCAGCATTTCCGAAAGAATGAACCATTTTGGTAGGCGTTACCAAATCCTTATTAATTTTGATAACGCCATCCAATATCCGCCCACGCAAATGATTAATGTTACAAAATGTTTATTGCAATGGTATCCCATATGAAAATTGAACAATCAAATTCTCGTTGAAAACGTCGAGATGCCTCGAGAAGAAAACACAGTGAAAAATAAATTAATGTGATAACTGATGAAAGATTATGTGAAAATTTCTTAGAATAAATTAAATCACAGTTCAGAGTGTGTATCGGCTTCGGATTCTTGAGACGTCACAGCCTCTCCAGATATCACCTTTTTGATTTCCTCATCATATTCCTTCCATTCTCCAATGATTCTAACAGCAGAGTCGAGCTTTGGCTCTTTGGTGAGTGGGTTGTTGCACTATAATAATAATAATGATAACATAATTTGTTACCTATAAAAAATGTCTAACCAGATCAATAGTTTTTGCTCTTTTCTTGGAATCATCATCGCACCACGTCTCACACCACAACCATTCTTGTGGAAGTGATTTGATCTTGACTTGGTGAATCATGTTGTTCGGAAGATCCTGATCCAAATTAGCTAAACTGTTTGGATCCGAAGACAATCCTTGATATTGTCCACGAAGCCGATCTCCAGCAGCGATTTGACGGAACTTTTGAAGATCAATGACATACAATGCACTAATATGGTATCTTCTGCCCGCCAAGTGATTCGCCCAGTATCCTTGCTTCCAGAATCGGAAACCATCCATTTCCTTCCTGCTCTCGCAAAATGGAACATATCTGAATTAATGTTATCAATATTAATTTCAGTTTATAGTATGCATACCCATATGGCGCATTTCCAAGATCATACTCCATAAGTTCCATAAGATCAGCGCGTACAACTTGATCAGCATCGACGAAAATGATTTTCTGAACTTCTAGTGGGAAAAGAACATCAAGGAACAAAATCTAAAACAAGCAGAAAATCAGTTGAAGATTAATTTTTTTAAACCTTGTATCCCCACATGATTCTTTGTTTCTCTTTCTGCTGATGAAGCCATCTTGGCCATTTATACTCAACAAGTTCATACTGGAAACCATAATGTTCCGCGAGAATTGGAAGTGTTTTCTTGAACTGTGGTGATAGGTAGTTTTTCAGAAGCCAGAATTTCACGGGATGCTTCGTATTCTTCATCACCGACACAAACATGATTCTCATGAATCTTTCATACAAATGTCCAGACGCCAATGAGAATACATTAATGACTTCCGGTTTTTCCTTGCTGCTAACTAAACTGAAATGATAAAACAAACGTTGTGATATATAAGCAATGAATTTCAATCAACACCTGCTCAGACTATTCCAAACACCTTCTTCATCATCGGAAAGCAGGCTTCTGTCTTCCATTCCTTCCCGCTTTTGAACGCGAACTCGTATTGCTTTTCCAGTGAACGATTCAATCACAACGCGTAGTACATTTTCATCAATTTTGTCGGCTCCTACTTGCGAATAAACTTGATAGATTTCCTTCGATCGTCCTTCACGAATTTGAAGATTCCATGCTCCTGGATTGGCTTTGAGTTGGAAATATCCAAGATTGGCCATGACAATCGTATCGAATTGCAATGGGTTTTTCTCCGTTCCAAGAACGAATTGCAATCCACGAGGCGGTTGACCAGTAGACTCATCAAAGCATTGTCCTTCAAGCAGAATGTGCTGTAGGGAATATACGGCTACCACATTTTTCGAAACCTTAAATCAATAAATTCCAACTATTCAAATTTAATTTTAGCAAACCTGCTCCATTTTAAGATTATCCAAATCATATTCAGCGAACACCGCCTCAACAATCCATGAATCCGGTGCTTGAACTGATAATGTCAGCAATTGCTTGCTTGGAAGCTTATCGAACTTGACTATAACGTCGTTCATGTTTCCATTTTGGTCAAATGTCAATTCCGATGAGGCGGCAAATCGATAAAATCTTTTAAGTGGCAACTCCGAAAGTTTTTCCTTTGGATTCATCACAATGCGGATTTCACTATTCGTGACCTTCTTGATTAATTTAAGAATTGAACTCAATTTCTGCGCTTCGGCGCTAAGCGGATCCACAATTGCAACTATTTGGATTGAAGAGCGGCCATGATCGTCGGCGTCCAATGTCACAACACTGTAAATTGAAAATAAATAACGTATTCCTTTTTTGTTGGGCACCTAAATTGACTTTGCTTCAACGGTACCCATGATCGTGTTTGAGAGGAAGCATATTTTCCAATATGTCCAGCAATAAGCAGAGCGTTATTTGAACCAGCAGCATTATTGGCATCAAACTTCCATTTGATCAAATGTTTCGAAATGCTCTGAAGGTGAGTTAAACATGTTTATACATTAATTCGAAATAAATTTACCTCAGCTCCTCTTGAAAGAAGCATGTTTTCGAAAAGCTTAAAGTCAGATGGCTCAAAATGCTCATTATCGTCAAGCGGTCCAACACGAAGGGTATTTCCAACAACAATTCGCTGTCCTGGCTTCACATTGATTACATTTTGAGCCAATTCAGCAGAAAGTCGAAGCGAGTCACAGCTTAATTTGGCTTTTCCAGCGGCAAAGGCATCAACGTCCATTCCACCAACGCTAATATCATCAATTTTCAGTTTTCCGGCAGCAAAATCAGCGGCGAATTCTTCGTTGACAAGTTTAGCAATCAACTTCTTGGCCTGATCCGCTGGAAGAAGCTGAAGAGCCGCATGAATGTATGAAGAGACGCTGTTTGGTTTGCAGGATTCTTCAATGTTGGTTGGGTTCAAAACCAGCCCGATTCTAGCCTTTGAAGATGACTTAATCAGTTGCAGCGAGTTATAGAGGAATCGGCGACCATCAACAGTATCGGCATCAGCAGAAACCCAAAGGGTTATTGGCTACAATTCGATTATTTCAACAAACTTAACTTTTAAGAAATCACCAAAATTTGGTCGTTGCTACCCTTCTGAAGGTACTTGGTGCTCTCCAATAAACATCTCGCTTTGTCAACGCTCACAAGATTCCTCAATTGGTCTACTATTGTAAGGCCATTGCATGGTTTTGAGCCGGAGAGATCAATGTAGGAGTGAGTGCTGGGAGCCGTTAAAATCCTCTTATTGATTCTCGGCATGACGTCTTTCTGCTCCATCATCCATTTGGCCACATTTGCACGATCAGTAAGTTTTCCTTAATTGAAAATACTATTTGACATAATTGTAATTATTTCGCATGAATACCTTCAATAATAGCTTTCTGGATTTTCTGCGTAATCTTCATAACTTCGTACATGATTGTTTCTTCAATATTTCCGGACAGCACTCCTTCATCATCAAGAACATATCCGTTCAGCATTACTTTCGGTGTTCCATTGAGGCCGCTTTTTCGAACAAAGTCGATTCCCGGTTTCCGTCCCTTGTCAAAATCGGAATCTTTTCCAAACACTTCTTCCAAGCTCATTTCAGGATATTTTCTAGAAAAGAACTTCTTGATGTCCTCAATTTCAGGGTTTTCAGTGCGGTAATTATCAAGAAACTAAAATTGAACAATAATTAAATGGCACCGATGATCAGCGCACTAACCGCATTGACAGTTTGCATAGCTTCCGGAATTGAAGTTTCCAGTGCAATATAATTGAACATGTTAAGAATTGCAACTCCGATGTCATCATCACCACTTACATTTGGATCATCGTTAACGGCGAAAATATATCCAATTCTGTATGAAGAAGCTTATTAGAGATTTCCAAGTTCTTAAGCAATATACCTCATTGCAATATCGTGGTTATAGAAATTAGCACCGGTGCGCATTAATTTTCGACCTTCCTTTGTTGCGGGATCAACGACAAAAACTAATGTGAACAAGTTACGAGCAATAGGGCGCAACATTCCCGGATAATACGGTTGCAGCATTAACTTTACACTGTTACTCCATTGTTTGTATTTTTTATCAGTGTCCAGATTGTTGAGGAACTAAAACTCCTAATATCGTGTTATTTTTATCAATTCTAGCTTACAAATGGATATCCCTCGCGATAATCAATAGCGTAGTTCACTTTTTCATCATCTGAAGTATCTGTGTCTACCAGAATGGATAGATATTCTTTCTACAAGTTTTTAATTTCTATAATTTCTAATGCCGAATTACTTACGTTAATTCCCATGTTGTGAAATCCAGATGAGAGCTTCTCCTCTTGCTTGAGCAAGTCCGACAGTTTGAAAAGATCCAAGCTATTAATATCTTGGCTGATTCCATTGATGTAAAATGCATTTTCTCCGGAATCAATGTTGAGATCTTCGAGCGATTTCAGATTTACAGCAATTTCATTGCGCAGTTGATTGCTGACTTGAGTCCGAGCTAGAGATCTGAAAATACATTTTTGATGAAATTATTTCAATTGAATCTAGATAATTACCTAGCATGAAGAGGGAAGTTCTGCGAAATCTGCTCCAATGTATTCAAAGCGTCTGATGGATTCACATTCATTATTTTTTGAGCAGCTTGAAAGCTTAAATCCTGAAGTTCCCATTTCTTCAAAGGGGTCAGTTCATCGGTGTCCTTCAAATGAGCACGAAACGCGTCGAGTTGTTCTTTGACTTCTGGATGAAGCTCCCTGAAAAGTTCTCATGAATTTTTGGCAAAATTAGACAATAATCCAACTTCAAAAGCTTGATATTATATCCATAAAGGTTTTCTTCATCCTGATTCGCTTCACTTTTCTTCTCGTTTGATTCATCGACAGCTTTGTATTCTGTATTTTTGATTGCGAGTTCCACACCATATCCAGATAATGAGACATATTTATCACTGACGTTCTAAAAGGAATATTCAAAATTTAAACTAAATATGGTTCAAATTACTTTGCTGAAGTGACGAACAGCCAACTTGAATTTCTTTTCATCCACCAGTCTCCTCAGTTTTGAGTAAAGCTTGGCAAATTCAGAACTTCCCAATTCACCATAGAGAATCACCAATTTCTTACTCTCATCTCCAATTATATGATCGATTGACAGATTTCCCGCTGCTCCACTTGACGATTCCAATAGTTTCGGAATATTCGAATCATCACAACCGGCTCTTCCGTTAATCACGAAGAAAGAATCGCAATCGGGCGGAAGATTTTCACTGGCAATTTGTTGAAATGATTGCACAACCGGTGAGTATTGACGTAATGCCAAGGCAAATTTGAGAAGGTCTAATGAAGAAGAAGGCAGCAATTTTGAAGCCAAAACGATGGTAAGGTCGTATTTCTTCTCTTCGGTTACTAAAATCAAATATTTGATTGTTTTTGCTAATAATTCTGCAATTCATACACTTATTCCATTCAGTTTGGGCAATTTCTTCATTAACAATGTCCAAAAACTTGAAGAATAGTTCATTGTCCTCTCGAGCAATAAATTCACTGCATAATATTATTTACAAATAACAATTTTTGTCGCAAAGAGGTCTAACCTAGCTTCAGCAAGCAATGATGTTGACTTCCAATTTGAGTTTAAAGACGTATAAACTCCCTTAGAATCTTGTGCAATCGCAATATTGCTCAAGCCGAGCAACAGGAATAATATCCTGAGAGCCATGCTGAAAAAAAATAATAGTTTTAGCAAGCTATGCAAAATTTGAACAGAAAACCACGTCAGAATTGAAACGTTGACTAAATGCCCTTGATTTATCGTAAATCATTCAAATTAAAATATTTAGTTCCAAAGATGAATATGACAGACCTTGTGATTAAAAAAACATTAAAGAATAAATGTACGTAAAATACATGCATACTAACACACTAAGACTCATAAACAACTAATAACAAAAAAATAGCGTCCCTTTTCATTAACAGAGTAAACGATGCTCCGCTACACGCGTTGGTTTACTTAGCGTAGCATCGTTCTGCCCTCAGTTTAGCAGTGGCTTATAAACAGAAGATAACATTTATCAACTTCTTACCTTTGATTCACCGTTCCACAGGCAGGTTATTAGTGCACTTATCATTCCATTCGACATTGCTTTCGTCAGTGAGATACAAATCGTCATGTGTTCCCTAACAATCAAATTTTTCTTTTTCGATAGTTGTGTTACACAGGAAACATCTAATCTCCGGTTTGTGCCAAGAACAGGAAATTTGTTTTAGTTAAACTTTTTTTTCAATCAAAACATTCATTAAAATCTAGGAAAAACATTTTTTTATATAGCGATTTGGTTTGTTGGATCAACATTAGGGTTAGGACGTCCACGGCAATCACAAGATTAAGCTAATCCGAATATGTATATTCATAAAGCTGCTTTTAAAGCTAGAGGCTTAGTATGAATCACAAATTCTTAGCTTGATGCGAAATCTATTAATATTGGAAATTTTCAAGATTTAATCTAGAGATAGCGTCTTTCGTGTTATTAGTATCTTCATTTTCATGTATTCCGAAAGTAAATTAATTTCAAAGCGTTTAGGAATTATGCAAAATTTATTGAAAAATTGTTATTTGAACCAATTGAGTAACTCTATTTTTATAGCCTAATAAGGAGCAAATATCTAAATTTTGTTATTGAAAAATAAGTCAATATGTGATTTTTCCAATTTTGAAAAGGGTTGTTCGAATTGCCTTGCATCACACTTTGCAATCCCTCTAATTTGATATTGTTTCTTTAATGGTTAAACTGATAAAACATTTTCATTTCGTCGCAAACTTTTTCCCATTGCGACAAGATCTACAGATTTTTTTGGATATAGACTTATTCATAATTTGATCGCAATCAAATCCCTAAATATAATAAAGTTAAAAAAAATGTGTTGTGTGTTATGCTCCCAACAAATTCAATTATGAATGTTTTCCATTAAAGTGAATTCCATTTTCAAATAAACATTCTAACTTGAAAAATTAAAATTAGAGCTTCTCGGAAGTTATCAAAATATTATTAATTAAAATTTCGAAAATATGAACTGCGTATCCTGTTTCAAAACGAATGATGTTATTCAAAAACATTGATAAGGTTTTGAATTACATAAAAATCACGAGCTTCTTTTTTCTGCAATTTGTATCACAAGTGGATTGTTTATTAAACTGATTGTTTGATTTTCTATTTGATGCCGTCAATGCATTTATAAACACTTCAATACTTCTCACTGAAAACCATCAAAATCATTTGTGTGAGCATAGATTACTGTATTATAATTTAGATGTTTTACGCGTGGGTATCGATGGACTTTATTTTTATTTTTCCAAAATCACTTCTTTGTAAGGACGTTTAGAAAATTTAAAAATTAAATGACGTTTTGAATGCTGCAAAGTACTTCTATGTTTGTAGTCATCACTCAACAAAACATTACAACGAAAACTGCCATCGCTTTCAACTTTTTCAGTTTCATAAACTGGATTTTTGGCTTATCTAAGTAAAGTTATGTACACCTTCACTTCCTTGTAGCATTCTTCTCTCTATAGTCGGCAAGCGTTTCATTTTTGACGATTTTAAACTTTTACTTCAATTCCAGTAGATTTTATTCTTTCACTCGAATTTAACATTATATGTGTAACACATGCGAAGGATACGTTCGAATGTCATTTCATTCTAAAATTTTATATCTTAATTTTTATTGGAAAGAATGCCGCTTCAAAAGAACAAAAAAAAGTCTCGCGCACTAAATTGCGTTTTTATGGGTCTAGCGACAATTTTTGCCGTGCAAACCGAAATTTATGTCGCGAAATCGTGGGAAGGAGTTCGAAATGTTGGTCAAGTTTACTCCAACTTTTTGTATTGCTATTCTTCACAGCTAAAAGAAACTGACGATATTAGCAAACAGAAGACACTTCGATTGACAAAAAGTAAGAGAATCGTAATTTTACTGGTTATTAAGCATCGTTATAAACTCGGCAAGCATCTATTTGAAAAAAATTGAATTTTGCAAAATATCCAACTAAGCATCCTATTTGCGGAACATTTCAAATCATTCCCAACGTTTAAACCATGTATGTACATGTTTTGTAAAAAAAAGCTATTCAACAGTTTTTGTATTTTCGAAATTCCATGGAAATAGCATTTATGTGCGATTTACTCAACTTCTAGTATTTTCGTAATAATTGAAAGATTTGCTTTCATTGTGCTAAAATCATATTCTTTAATTTGATGCAAACGATTCAAAAAAATCTTTCTCAAAAAAATATGGCTTATGTATTCCCCAGATGCTGTTTGCTTCGTTTGTGAATTGGCCCAAACATTACACCTCAAACTGTGGGTTGTGCTAATTTTGGAGAGATTACTGCTTTCCGACCACACTCGACACAAAATTTATGCGGCGAGCAGAGATTTAATATGAATTGCCGAAAAGTTTTTTTTTCAATTATCGTTCATTTCTCGCCATATTCATTCGATGAATATAAGATCGATTTGACAATTCAAGCGTTCATTCATGGAAATTCCAAGCCAGGTGGAACGTGCAAAAGCTTGCATCTAAATACATATGTATACATATATATCCATAAATACTGAAGAAGAAAATTTTTGTTTGAAGCGTTTTATGAGCATTTGCAGAATTTTTTGAGCCTTATCGGGGGGAAAAATATAATGGGCCCATAATGGTCTCGTTTTTTCTCCTTTTGTGACTTTCGCTTTACCGAATGAATCAAAGTGACGTCGAGTTTATGTCTTGTATGGCAAGTACAATTTTAGTTACAGAAGTTAACTGAACAATGGAATATAGAATTAATTTAACATAATTGCCTAGTTGAACAGAATTCATTTTATTCCAAAATTTTTTAATTTTATTTACAGCCAAGCAGATTGCAAGAAGTCTACTTGATTTATTTATAGGATTTCAACAGAATTTTCAATGTCTACCTGCATTTTCAAAAAAGAAAAATAGACCATTTCTTGAGTGCCTTCCAATAATTTCTGAAAACCACAAACTCCGCGTGACTATTTAAAAGGCAATATAACAGTTAACAGACATGGTTGAACTGACATTTTTCCACGTGATTTCCAATGTTTCCACTCATGATTAGCTGATTATTGGTACGTCATTCAGAAATTATTCAAATGGAATTTGTGAATTTTACGAACAAACGGCGGGCAGTCGTCATCATAATTTCGACATCCGCTTGTTTGTTATCAGTTCTAATAATCGTTCGTGACGGCGGCAGCTCTTGTTTGAAACAAGACCGAATCGCGCGGCAACGCCATTCCATTCCCATGTCATATATAATTTTTCTGGTGCTCTTCAGACTGACTCGCCGTTTTTCCCAGTGGCGCGTGAGCGTGTGTTCATGTGTTGCGAGTACGCGCAGGCAAGTCAACGCTAAGAGTCGCCGGGTTTTAACATTCTAGAACGTGGTCAGAGCAGAGAATCAGAGAAAATACTGGACGATCAATGTGTGTGTGTGTGTGAAAGGGGGGGGCTTGGTTGGGACAGGGTGGACGCCGTTCTAACCGAAAGGCATTGAGCGAAACCAGCTTTTACGTATTTTGTTTTCAACGTGTGCATTTCGACTAATAATCTTTGTGCGAAGGGCACATTTTTATCAAAGAACATGTCAAATTTTATGACTATTCCATATTCCAATTCGATAAAGTTGCATGCCAATTGTATTCTCAATCAAGTATATATAAGACGCATAATTGGTTTTCAATTGAACCCCCTGCAATAAACAAAAAGATGAATGTTTCTTTTTTCTTCTTAATTGCAGCTATCTTTTTTCTTCCTGTGTTGTAATGTGGAAGTGTTTGGGTGGTCCCCAGGTTTCCCGGAAACAAATATCCGTTAAAAATGAGATTTCTTAATTATTTTATAAATTTCTCCGAATACTCGTTTTTTAGCTGGATTGTGAATTCCGAAACATGAAAATATTTTTCAACTTCAAAACTCTGTGGTCTTTAATGCCTCTTTTTAGTTAAGCATTTATTTTCGGTTTATTCGTTTCAATTAAATATAAAAGTTCCAACGTTACATATTTAACAGAAAAGTCACGTTTAAAATTAACATATGTCTCGACATAAATTAATTTTGCATGGAATGTCAACAATTTTTGATCCAGGGTTACATAGCTGTTGAAAAAACATTGATGAGTCAGAATGGATCAATAGATTTCGAAACACATTTCTGAGTTCAACTGCGAAGTGTATGTGTGTCGATACACTTTGAAAGGTGGAAATAATCTCAATCCGTTTTTAACGCTTCACTTACTCTTCAGAATTGAAACTCACATGGATTTGTAGGCGTTCGAGTAATCCTCCTTCTGTTTAGTAAATATTCCCATATCATTATTATTGTTTGCATGTTGAGAGCTTCATTGTTTGATCTTATCCATCCCTGCTCAAATATTCATTCCGGCAAAGTGTAATCAAAACGAAATTTCAAAATTTCTCATATCTTCACACAGACTGGTCGTAAACGATTTTGTTCGTCTTCTTTCTTGCAATTGCTTATATATATATATATATAATTCCTGTTCGTCGTCATCGTCGCTTCCCCTCCCCCTCTACATCTCCGACATATTCCACTATCGAACTAATAATATACATGTTCATATGCATACTTTGTCTCTTTAGTTAAATGCGAACCATCGGCTATTTGCGTATTCTGCTCGCATTATAATCTGACCCACAATTGGAGGGCGAGAAAAGGAAGAGGGAGACGACGACAACGACGACTCTCGAATCGATAGCATTTGTAAATGGAGGACAATGCGGCGGAATTTGAAGGCGGCGCGACACGCAGTTGTTTTTAACACCCTAATTTTCGATGGCGAGCGCGTCTGAGTTCGAGCCAAAAAAATATTAGGGAGAGGAAAAAAAAAACAAAAACAATATGGGGCGTACGTATTCATGTGCATTGTACGCTGTCACGGGAGTCGTGTCATATGACCTCTTTATTTGCCGCACATTTCTTGCGGAATCATGTGTTGTCCTTCCAGAACAGTGAACTCAGTAGGTGTTTTTCGCCAATAACTTTTTTCTCTCTCTTTAGCCAAGATCAATCCCATCTTGAACCTGTATCGCCAGCGTGGAAGGCGGCAGTGTCGGCAGAAACACGTTTTCAACACATTGTCAATCGCCGGTAGCATTTTCTTGATGAATGTTTTAATCCCAAATTCAAATACAGTTTTCGTTATGCTTAAATGTTCTGTCATTGGAAATCGGCTCTCATTCTCTGTTAGTAATTCAGCGAAAATCAATTAATTTTGAGATTTTTTTCCACGCATCGCTTATTATTTCAAAGAGTGATACACATTTAAAATGATTACTCATCGATCTAATTAATGAATTGCGCTGATTAATGTTTGCCGGAAATTTCAAATTCCCCTCGTCAATTTTCAAAGAAATATGTCCTATATGGGGGGGGGGGTGAAGGGACGAATATTAATTTTCGCGGTTCGATAATTACATTTCCTCGTCCCACTCACTTGACCTTGAAACTCCATCTATTTTTTTTTCTAGTATGGTCCTTCATTCATTTGAAATTTCTTGAGTCTTTTTTTCAAATATCGGTTTTTTGATTGGCGAATTTATTTCGGCGCAAATCCTAAATACGGGCGGATGGAACGGATTCCAGTTTGCAACCGCTCGCGCCCGCGCGCAAGAGCGAGAGGCAAGACTTATCAGAATGCTGTCTGCCAATTTGCGGCGACTCTCTATGTATATATGTGTGTGAGTGTTTTTTTTTTTGCGTTTCTATGGCGGGTTCTGTTCCTCTGTCGATATCTTTTCCTCTCACCTTCAAAACGAGGCATCCAGCGCTTACGCGTCCGCACGCGCATACATATACACCCCGAAAACATTCTATTTGCTTACCGGTCTCTTTCATTGATTTTTTTCTCTACTCCCCTTATTTCACCCAATGTTCGCTCTGGGGGACAATGAATGGTTACCAAAAATCACTTGGATTTGTGTAGTTTGACACAAGCGACAATGTTTTTTGCAGTCTGCCAGGTGGCCTAATTAACCGCGAATGCAATTGCGCTCCATTGACATTCTTTTGTTTGATTTTATATCAACAACATCATCGTGTTATTATTTTCTCGCATTTGCCTCATTGTGCCATTTTTGCAACGATGCTCGCTTACAGGACCATGTCTATCTCGACGATCCGGCGCCAAGTCAAGAATGTGGCTTACAACTTCTCCGATGCTCAGGTGAAAGTGCGCGAAGCAACCAGCAACGATCCCTGGGGACCATCGACGGCTTTGATGTCGGAGATAGCCGATCTCACTCATAACCCAATGGTTTGTTGGACAATGAATCAGCGCTTCATGGATTGATTGAACGCACATTTCAGGCATTCACGGAAATCATGTCAATTGTCTGGAAACGCTTGAATGACTCCGGAAAGAACTGGCGTCACGTTTACAAAAGTTTGGTGCTTTTGGACTTTTTGGTGAAATGCGGACACGAAAAGGTTGCACAGCAATGTCGTGAGAACATCTTCACCATCGAGACCTTGAAGGACTTCCAGCATATTGAGGATGGACGTGATCAGGTAGATAACACACATTCAATTTATTGAGTGAAACGTTTCCAATTCTTCAGGGCTTGAACATTCGTGAGAAGGCAAAACAAATAACAGGACTCCTCTCGGATGATGAGCGTTTGAAGAACGAGAGAACACGCTTCATGATCACTCGCAACAAGTTCAAACAAAACAGCCAGGGGGCAGTTGGAGCGGAATCCACTCGTCGTAGTCGTCATCATCCGACATCTGATGTCTCTTTAGGTACACTCTGAAATCAAAAGTCGGATGTATGATTGTAGCTTTAGATCCGGAGTACGAAGAGGCTCGCCCATCGACGGCGACCGAGGAAGAGATGCAACTCCAAATCGCATTGGCTCTTTCTCGCGAAGAGCACGAGAAGTTGGATGAGATGCGCAAAGGTGACGAAGTACGTCTACAAATGGCATTGGAAGAGTCTCAGAAGGTTGATACTTCTATTACATTAAAATCTATAGTGATATTTTTTCTAGGAGGCCGAACGTTTAGCTAATACTGCTCAAGGAACCGTGAGCAGCGGACAACTGACCCAGTCGGCTCTCGACGATTTGCTCTCATTGGGAGTCGGTGAACTTGTGTCTTCCGATCAGCCGTCTTCGTCTGCGGCTTGGGGAGCTTCCGATCCATGGAGTGTTCCACAACAGCAACATACAAACAACGGATTCCCATCTAATGGGCAGCCTCTTTATCCGTCCGCAAGCTTAAACGATCCATGGGCATCGACGAACACTCCAACCGCTCCACAGCCGCCATTGGCGATGGGTGGCGATCCGTTTGCAACCTGGGATTCTCAGCCGGCGAAGCCGCAAACTACTCAGCCAGCGAATTCATTTGATACTGCCGATCTTCTCGGAGGAGATGTAAGATTATAAAATGAATCTAATAAAATCATTAGGTCGTTTTACAGCTCATCGCTCCAACGACTTCAACTACTACTACTACTAACACTACTAACACCAATGGAAATGGCATTCGCAAGACTCCAGAATCGTTCTTGGGACAGAACTCGAATCTCGTCAACCTCGACAATCTTCTCGGAACATCGTCGACTCCAAGCAGCGGTAAGTAATTGATCGCATTGCTCTGAAACATTTCCATTAATGTTTCTATTTATTCAGCTCCGCTTCCAAATGGTAAATATATGTTGAATACGGTTTGAAAAGTTGAACATAACTCCCGTTTCGTTTATAACAGTTTCTTACGTACCGTCTATCTAACTATCTGTGTTTTCTGTTAGCGAAAGCTACTTTCATTTCAAAAAATTGCCTGACAAAAGCGAAATTTTGAAATGCATGTCGCCAACCGTCGAAGTAATTAACAAGCATGCTTCTGACATAATCTCGAGCCGAAAAAAATGATACTGACTTCTTATAGCATGCTTTTTAATCACCATAATCTCTTGATTTGATTGTGTTGCTACCTTTCATTTTCTCATTTGAATGAATTACAGAGAATGAAATGAATCATTTAGGCGGAAACCCATTCCTCACGGGAACTGCGCCTGTCGCCACCAATCCATTTGCTGCCCAGCAGAGAAAATCGCCAACCTTGAATGAGATGCGCGCCGCGCAAGGACAAGCTCCACCAATTCCAAGCATGGCACCGCGTGGCGGGCTTCCGCAGCCCATGGCTGCCAACCCATTTGCCAATCCGTTTTAAGATGTTTCAAATTCTTGCGGCCGCCTGATATATGTATACAGAAAGAAGTGTTAAATTATTAAGTGATATGCCCAAGTATTCCAGTCTTTTCTTTGTGTCGGTTTTTTTCAGCAGTGCGCCCAAGATGCCATTATACTTACCCTAAAATCAAAAATCTTTTTTTCATGTTCCATCAATTTTAGACTGATTTATTGTACCTTTTCACGCCCAAAATCATTTCACCACCTTCTCTCACCACTTTGTTTTCACTGTATCCATTATTGGCGATCAATCCATAATTATTGGTGACGGTTTTTTTTGTCTAGCGTTGGTGAATGCGGCAAATCACGTGAGATGTAGCTCGAGCGCATTTTCTTCGCGAGTTGAAATGCGCTTGCTTATCATTCTGTTATGGATATATTGTTGCCTTTTCTATATGATTTTCTTGTAATTGTCTTCCAGCGATATTGGTGTGAAATGATTTTCGTTTTTATAATTGTGCTTCCGTGTAATTTTTCTGACAAAATACTAATCACTCTTCATCATATAAGTCAAACTCACTCGATTAAGTTTACGCCACTCAATCATAGTTTTTGATTCAATAAATTATTGTTTCAAACAAATACTCGAAAAATCTGCTTATGTATTTCAGGATCAAGCTGTACAAGAAACAAAATCATGATGATGAACTTTTCTCACTAGATTCTCGATTATTTAGAGTCTTCATCAACCATCCCAGTTCCGGCGGTTTATTTTCTTAAATAAGTCCAGATTAATGCAATATAATTTATTTTGAAATAAAAGACAAGATGGCGGTTCATTCTGAAAATTATTTTTGAAACATTGTTGATTTCATTGTTAATATTCTGGGTCGCTTGAGATACAACAATGTTATTATCAAGCCTAGCATTTATGAATATAATGATTATTAATATAATTAGCCTCTAGAAAAATGGAAAGGGTTGAGAGGCTATGAGTTCTGTAATGTCGCTTAATTTGGCAGAATGTCTCTACTTTCAAATGCTCTAAAGCATAAGCACTCCTTATTCTTCTCGCAAATCCTTTCCAGGATACAAGGAGGAAGTTTGATTTTTCGACGGATCGCTTGATTGGCCAATGTGCAAAGGGATGCTTGAAGCCTGGCGGTTTGAGACAGGAGTTTTGCATATTGGAGATTGAACGTTTTCATTTCGCGTTTCGCAATTACCACACTGCTTATTCGATTCGCGTTGGCAGCACGAATTTTTTCGTTCAACTCGTGCAGCTGAAATTTTGCAAGAGTCAAGTAAACCGGTTTTTCTCAATTTAAGTTGTTTAGCAAATTTATGCATTGCAGTGCACACAAATAAGAGTGCATTTCAAAATTTTGGCTACACATCAAGACATAAATTAAGAGGTACTTTCAATTATCGGCATTATTTAATTTTCACTATTACAAATAAATTGTATTTTTGTAAAAAAAAACATCTTTACGGAAAATAAAATAATTGTTTAATTTTTTTTCCGAATTTTTTCTATTGTTTCAAAGATTTGTTTCAATATTTTAAGGACGATCTTTCAATCTCACATCAACTATTAAAATAAAATTACTAGCAGTTTCATTCGATTTATTCATAAATGATTAATGAGTTGTGTATTTATATACATTCCTATGGAACTTGTTTCTTATAATTGAGTAGGATGGAAATTTTCAAAATGCAAATATTCTTGAAAAATAGTGCTATTTTCATTTTGCACAATGACTGGAAGAATATGAAGTTTGTGAGAAACCAAAATAACGAATCTGCTTATAAAATACTACATATAATAAAGATTACGTTTTGTTCAACTTTTATTCAAAATGAACAGTTTGCGCTGAAGGTATCAATATTTTTCTAACATTATCAGAGGAGCTAATTTGGTACTAAATAGTGAACTTACCGCTATGTCGTATGATGATACGTCTTTAACAAGCTTATCCACCTCTTGATTATGTTCATAGGGAAGTTTTCTAAAAGAAACTGAATTTATATTTAAATTTAATAAAATTTACTTTTTATCAAATTTGATCGCTCTTAAATCATTTTCAAGTTGATAAACGTGATTCCGAATGATTCGGTGTTTTTCAATGACGATTTTATAAGCGTCTAAATGAGAGTTGTAGAATTGCAAATGCTGAAAATCATTTCTATATTGTCGGATTTCAATAAATAGAAACAAACTTTTTCTTCAATCCCATTTACCAAGGTTTTTAATTTGGACACTCGTACTTTTTGGAATTCTTGAATGACATTATTTATCATTGTTTTTCTCTGCCGATCTTTCTCCTTTTCAAGATCATCGTCAAAATTTCGTTTTCTTTCTGAAATTACTCTCCAGAATTTTTTTCGCAATTTTCAACCAACCTCTCTGCTTCTCAGCTTTAATCATTATCCTGCTGCAATATTCGTCTAATCGTTTTTGCGTTGTGCTTAAAAACCGCTCATTCTTTTTTCTGACAATTTTCAATTTTTCATTCAAGTCAGTTTCCTAGAATTTGTATTTTTTAAGGTTGATATTTCTGAAAATACCTCAATATCTTCCGTTTTTAAGACGTTATAGAGTTTCAAAAAATTTTCAAATAAAGCTGCCGATTCGATGACATTTTTTGTTGATTTGATTTTTTCGTGGATTTCCCGAATTTCTGAAAAATTGAAATGTTAAAACACTTCGATATTTTGCGTAAACCATTGAAATTAGACGCAACCGATTCCAGAAACTTTTCACATTCCTCCGATTTTTGATTCACCACATTTCGAATCTCATTTGCATGAGCTTTTATAATAATTTTATAGGATTGTGTGAGAGTTTTCAACTCAGATTGTCCAATGATTACATCACGCACAATTTTTTCGATATTCTAAATTCTTATTGAAATTTTAAAAATATCATTGAAAAATATTTATTTACCTCAGTGACATCAAGTTTGGCCAGAAATGTTTGAAAGGAATATTCAAGCTCGGTAGGCATTTTCAAAAATGCTACTAATATTGTGAAGTAGGTTTGACATTACTGCTAATGTTTACTGGACCGTGATTTTAGGAAACTGCAGAAATTGTCATTTTCCATCGACATTATATATTTGCCATGAAATTTTCCATAAAATATTCAGACATTTGCAAAATCAATTCAATGCGGTTATCTAATCAGCAATAAATCGTGTAATTGGGTAAATTAGAACGTAAACTAACTAGATAAGTTAGAACGAAGCATTAGAAGTCATAATTAACGATTTTGGCAAAGAAACGGATGATGACCGTAAAAAAGAAACGATGAATTTCTAAAAAGAAATCAAAAATATATAATTAAACCAAAGAAAACCCATAAGCCTTCCTAGAATATATATATTATAGTCATTCAATATTTGTGCCATAATTCTTTGCCACATTATTTCAAAAAACATGTAATTTTGAAATGTTCTAATAAATGACTATTTTTTGTCAGAAACTCCACTCTAACTAAAGTATATCAATTTATCTTGAATGCAAATGAGCTAGATAATTTATATGATTAAAATTTATTATATGCCTTTTTTAGAAAATAAAAGAATTTCGCAATAGTTTATATATTCAATTTTCAGGGGAATTTATTTTTCTAAGTGAACAATTTGATGCTACAATGTCAATTCGTACTCGGGGTTTTTTTTTGTCATCGTCACGAGGGTCCAGCTGAATCCACAGCACAGACGCTCACCGCACACACATTTCTATGCTGCTGACAATTCATCTTTCTATTGATTGTTAGAGAAGAAAAGGCGCATGTCAGAGAAGCTTTCGTTCTTCGTGCAAACGAAGAAACCGCGGTCAATAATTGCGAAAAAATTGCGGCATGGTGAGAGGGTCGAGAAAAGCAAACGAATAGTATTTTCCCTCGTTGCCACACTCTCACGCGCCCGATCACTCTGGGTCGCCCAACGCGCCGATCTTGTCATTCGATCAACGACAAGACCTGCAACTGATTGCTGTTTCGCTTAACAACCATCTTCAATATACCATCATGAACTCTAACGGTCAGCCCAACTTTACTCCTGCTCAACAATACGTGGGTATGGAGCTACCCACCATGGCTACGCCAATTTGTACAGTAAGCGATTTTCTTCTTACCAAAACAAAAATTTCAGAGTTTGACTTGAAATTGTTTGCAGGAAAACACGTGCTGTGTTTGTTGAGCCTACAGGGCACACTTTCGGACAACTACCATCTCATATTCCACAACCTCAACCATTCCAAAATACTCCACCAAACACATATGTCTTCCATCATCACTACCATCATGAATACTATCCCGGAACTCAACATTTTGAACGACAGATGCCCTATTTGCCGCCAGCGCCGCAGTCATGGGTACCACCCGATCCATTCGTTGACGATTTTCCGATGCCTGATGAATCTGAACCGATTTTTGCCGACTTGTCAATGAGCAATCTGAAGCCTCATTATTCGCCAGTTCAGAAAAAGGTGCGTTCATTCTCAAATCCCACCAATCATTTGGTTCATTTTAATGAAGCGCGAAAGACGGGAAATTTTTACACCAAATGAATTCAGTGATAACGTGTAGTTTCTGTCCATTTCTATCACTTCCCTTTTGGGACACTACAAAATGTTGCTTTTTTATCGCCGAAAAGAAGAATCTGGAAAATGGAGAGATGACGAGAATGCGGGGGTCAATTTAAACGCTTCTTGATTTTATCACTTTCTGAGAGGATTAATGATAATAGCGGTGAAACTCGGGAATTGATGTCACAGTGGGAAAAAGAGAAATATCATAGCAAAATAAGTACAACAATTGCTTAGAATATTATAGTATTCAGATGGAGCGAATGTATTAATAGTACACAGTCACCATATTTTCACATGGAAATCATAAGAATTCTTATCAAATTATCCTAATTAAATAGTTACACTGAATTTGGAGAACCGTTTCGAATTACAGCTTTTTTGTTACCTACAAAATGTTTAGTAAAATTGTTAGGCGAAAATATTTTGCAAATCGTTTGAAAGCAAGCCTATTATGATGGAAATTTATTTTGTTCCTTTTAGATTTATGATCTTTTATCAGTTTCGAGTTTTACGTTCCGATAAAAAGCCTTGACACGTCTTTACAGTGGTTCTTGATTGATAATATTTAGTCTGATTATCGGAAATTGGTAGTAGTCCGATTGAAACTTATCTTGAGAACTAACTATCGTAAAAGATTTCAGAAGGTCATCAAATTGTTTTTCTGTGATCGTTATAATTTATCAATGGCCGATTCGGCTTTACCCACAACTAAGGTAAGGGCAATTTCGTATAATTGGCATCGCAGAAATTTTTATCAGATACGCATATTTGTCCCATCACATTAAAGCAAATATAGATTGTTCAAATTTTTAATTAAAAAAAATACACGTTTTATTAAAACTTCCAATGACGATCATAACGAACGCGTCCTCGGCTAAAAAAAAAGTTTTGATTGATATTATCACGTGGGGAAAAAATTCAATATACGAATCCATCAAAACAGGTTGCGTGGGCGTCGCGGAGAATTGTTTTCATATTGACATCATATTTATTCTTCTTCCAAAAGATTACGAGCAGCTAATTATGATTAGAGTCGAGGGATACCATGTTTACTTTCGTCGAAAGGTGATTGTAACTAAATTAATCAAAATTAATCCATAATATAAGTACAAAAACATTTTTTAGGAAGAGATTCTTGAAGAGATTGTTCGCGAATGCGAAGAAATCGAACGTCGCTCTTCTTCTGGCGGATCACCCAACTCCAGCATTTGGTCATCTGACGATCGCGATACACCTGATCTCCCACACTACCATCCATACAAGTCACCGGAGAAAAAGGAGCGAAAGAAGGTAGAAAGAATTAAATGCGAACGATTTAAATGTCAATTTTAGGCTCAAAATCGCTTAGCTGCCACCAGATATCGTGAAAAGAAAAGAAAAGAGAAGGAACTCGCAATGAATTGCATCGAAGGTCTCACAGTTAAGAACAATGAGCTCAAAACCAAAGCGATTGAGCTTGAGCGTGAAATCGGTTACCTTAAGAACTTGATTAAAGAGATCGGCCTCGAGTAGAATTAGTTCCTGTTGTCATTATTTATTATCATTAGTCAGTCGATTCAAAGATTTTTTCCCACTCGACAAATTGGCGATGCAAATTGCCGCTGTTTTGTTCATTGAGAAAAAATAATGGTATCGATTGAGATAACTTTGTATTATTATTATTATTATCCATATAATTCTAACCATCCTACTAGTATAAGTATAATTTGTTCCTTCTCTCAATACATTGCAGCATTTATCATCAAATCCACCATCTCGTGGCAAACAATGCGTCTACCAATCAAAATGTTGTGCAAAAATATTGTATTTCCTCATTTCAATGCTTATTTTTCTATTTACAACACCATCTGTCCGAATGTGAAGCTCACCCCAAATATGTACAATTTAATTTTTATGCGAATAAAAAAAAGCTTGTTGAAACGGAAATTTAACAAAAGGCATATGAGGCAAGATCAAAATGGAACAACATTTTATGTATTGAAACAAACAAGCAACACCCTGTGGATAAAAAAAGAATATTTAGCGTGGTCGCAAAAATGAATCAATTTTATTACTAGAATGACACATCAATAGGGAACCCTACAAATTAAATTTTCTGCTCTCAGAAACAGCGAATGGTGTCAATCGATTGCTATGTATTGAGAATTTCGCGTCCGATCCGCGATGGGACACTTGTGTCGAGCCATCAGTATCGGTGCAAATGTTCACCAATTGCGTACAATACTCTGAACGACGGCCAGAATGAACAGCGCTAACTTCGCGTTTGCGATCGTATTCGGAATGTTTGTAGCCACTGAAAATATAGGCCTTTTACAGAAAAAATGCAAAAAAATGCACAATTCGCTAAATATGTTTCTAATGATTAATTGAAACTTACGGGCAGAAAAGGGCTTTGAATGTTTGCCGGAAGCTGCTAGACATGAAGCAATAAATGCTAAAATTGATTGGATATGTTGCCTGAACAAAATACCATTTAAAATCTCTACGCATTTCAAGATAATACCATAACAATCATGTTGCTTGTCAGCAAGAATACTGGCGGAAACATGCCTTCGAGCAGCGTTATTCTGATCCCAAATGTTTCGCATACACATAAAATACCCATGAATGCGGCTTGCGGGAGATTCACAATCTAAAAACGAAGCTTCACATTTTCGGTGGTCTTTAGAATTCCTACCAAGAAGATTGAAACAATTGCAACTAGCATTAAGCTCGTTGAATTGCTATCGCGTTGCCTTGCAGCTTCTTCCGATCGCTTCTCTCTGCAGAATTGAATAAAATCAGTTCGTGTATAGTCAATCAAAGATAGTATAACATTCCTAAAAGGTTAACTAAATGGATCTACATGGAAAGGATGGAAAGGAAATGATTGAAACTAAAGGGCTGAAGTTTTAAAATAGTTCGCAGTAAAACACCATGCTTGATTTCTTAAACGCCAAGCAAATCGCACTCATGCTAAAGTCTATTAATGAAGAGTATAAAAATTGTACAACACGAATTTGTTCGATCGGATAGACAGTTTTTCAATTCAGGCAGTATTATTAACCTCGCTGCATTTGTCACGCAGTTCTTTAGAATGATCATCGAGATTTCGACTTGTTTACTTCTGAAGTAGTTTTTTTTGTTTTCTCGCACTTTTACGTTAGGTAGTTTTATTGAATTCAAGTTTCCCGCTGAACTCTTAATAAGATAGCCAAGAGGAATGAAAGAAGTTGAAAGGTACTGTAGAGCACTATCACAACTGTTCTTGGCTCATGTTTGATCTACGATAATGGCGTAATTAGCAAAAAAAGTTCGTTCGACAAAACGCAGTTGTCATGCCCAAGACAAAAAAAAATAAATGCTCATGCTCTGAAGAAATCGCTTTCATCTTCTTTCAAACATCCATCTTGGGTATTATTTAAGATACCTGAGAAGGCGTAGCTTCCGTTTTTGAGCCTTGCGGATTCCTCTGATCAAAAGGACGTTCAAAATGACAAGAGAGACACTTGGGAGAATAATAAAACCCAAGGCTCTTGTCCAAAAGTAAATATTGAAAAACACCGTTTGACCCATAAGGTCGAGAAGGGAAGTTTGGATCATCACACAGCTTCTGCAATAATTTGTTTATAAATTTTCTTAATAATCTTATGTGTTTTTGAAATCTAACATATTTCTGTTCCTGGTCCATTAATTATATCAAATTATTCTTGCTTTGGAATCTGTGTAGATTCTGCGTAAATGATGATGAAACAACGCTGTGAAATTGCATAATCCTATTTAACCGAAAAAAAAACTTGCTTCTAATGGTAGTTCCCATTCTGTGGAATTTTTTCTCCCGTACAAAAATTCTATATTTTAAGTGCATCAGTACCGAGTATGCTTCCAATTGCCGTGCATAAAAATCCATCCATCAATTGTTTCATAAACATAATCAAATGATTTGGGAAGCCCGCAGAATAAGGAGATTGTCTGCAAAAACAATAAGATTATCACGTCGTAACAAATTCACTTCAAAAAAGACTGAAAACGATAGTTTTAATACTACTACTAATCTCACCGCTATTATAAACGTTGCATATCGCACATTTCGAACACTACATGTCGCTCTTGAATGCAGCGGATAGCTGATTGAGATATATCTGAAATTGAATAAATTGTTTCAAAATTGAGAGGAATTCATGCATGCTCACCGCTGAGCCGCTAACAACACTGTTAGCCACATTGCAATATTATGGAAGACTGGTGGGAAAACATCCATGCTATATTTTTGCAAATAACACCACCAAAGTTCCAATCGATGCAGTTTTTTGAAATTCCTAGTAATCGACACGATTAATTATGAAAAACATCAAAACTCAATCCAACCCTAAAGTGAAGAAGAACAGTGTCCATGGTAGTGGAACTAGTCCCACAAGGAGTTCCGCAATCGCCATATATTTCAAGACAACGTTTGTCGGGGTCACCATATGTTTTTTGGAAAGTACGAGAGCCACTGCCATATTGGCCAAGACTGCTAGTAGTACTAGAACTGGGAAAATCTGGAATTCCTTCAGTTAGTCTTGAACATGGATCAAGTGATATCACACCTGTCCATAAACAATGTTTTCGAGTTGCTCATTTTGATATAAGGGAAGAATGAATCGGTCGGTTACGCATGTTTTGGAACATGCGTCGAAATAGTGAGCATATCCTGAAATTCAAGTTTCAGAAAATTTTTATAAAATAATTTTAGTAATCTAGTTGGTACAAATCTTGGAAATATTATGCCCTACATGACATTTAATAATAATCATGTAATCATGGATGGAAAATTTCTGATTATAGAGGTCCATAGTGACCTACCAGTTTTCATACAATCATCTGCCAGCTTGATGAGACTTGAGCTGTTTGGCACGACATTTGGCGGTCCGCAGCCTTCGGGTTCACGGTACATTCCAATTTATTTGAGAATATGAAGTGCTCGACACAATTCACCTCATCCCTGGCCGTCGGCAAAACGATGATTACAACGTGTCGAACTGAAATTCGATTTCGACTGCTCAACTTTTCAATTTTCGATAATGTGCTGAAAACTGATTAACTGGTTGTGCTGTTAGGAATCGGCCGAAAACGCTTTAAGATTTATTTAACGAGCATTAAACAAAGAGCGAAAGGTAATTTGAAGGAAGAATGCAAAAAAAAAACAACATGGCCGAGCGAAGGGATTCTGCATCTCTTGAAAAGTGCATCCGAATGAGAAGAGATAGCAATAAACCAAATTTTATTGCAGGCTCGAACTTCTTATGAAAATTGTTCTCTCGCAAAAATTTCAAGATGTCTATTAAAAACGAATATCGTCGACAAAACTTCCGGCGTTTTATTGGCGAAGTGGAATTGACAATAAAGTTTTTTATTGAAAAATAAATGAATTACAGTATTCCTGCCTAGAGGGCATAAAATGGGAAAGTTCTTTTCGGCAATTCAGGCATCTAATGAAAAGCTTCAAATTACGATTTTTGGAATTCTTTATTATCGTGTTTTACACCCTACATTATTAATTTCTTCAAATGTCTACCATGAAAATAGAAAAAACCTGCTCAATAAACGTTGAATACCATAATTGGCATCGTTTCGGCTTTGGCTAGTGTCACAAACCTTTAATGCTTGGAAGGTCAGCCGATTCTTGCACGATCCCTTCTTTTCAATTAAGAAAAAAGATAGAAGCATTAACAAATTGAACAGCATTGAACATATTTTGAACTTTGCGGATTTGTGTTCACTTATGTTTCATATTTTCAATAAGCGCTTGTCTATGGAGAAATGAAAAAGATGTAGTATATATTTTTTATACTGTTCTACATATTATATATAAGTTATTCAATTTCACAAAATTTTGATTGGACAACATTTCAAAACACACCTAGAATATTGGATGTTAGAGAATATAGAAACTTTCACTAGTCAACTCATGGAACACTTCTCGAAAATCTCATTAAGGATAACATGCTGTCGGCGGCATTAGTCATTAATATTGACATCAATTCATGTTAATATGGTTAACACATATTTTGGTGTTAAGACGAGAGGAAAATAAATATATAAAATGGTTTTAACTGGATGCGAATGTAAAGCCGCGTTTTTATTTTAATCGTCGTCTTTTTTCGACACCCTGGATTAGGTGAGCAACAAAAAAAGGAGGGAAAAAACGAATGATTGGCTTGGATGAAAGGTCAAATTCGAAAAAAAAAGCTCGTTTATCAATAAGAGGGAGCTGAAGCAATTCGGTAATTCGGATTAAGCAATTCTAAAGACCAGACTCGTTTTATGCTCAACCCCTCTTCAGTTTAATTCGAGCCGTGTTTTTTAGAAACTGATACATACACCACGATTAGATAAATTTGTCAAGCAAACGTAATCCCGTTAGGACAATATTAATATTGCGTCTTTCTGCCGCTGTAAGTATGCTCTTGCCGAAAACTCAACCGCGTCCCGCCCATTTTCACAAAATTTATGGCGAAATCAAAAATTTTCAAGGACACTTTGAGCAAAAATATTATTTCTTCTACATTTGTTGAAGATGAGAGCTAGTTTTTTTCTCTATCTGTAAGTCAATTGAACGCAGTAAATATGCTTTATCACGTGGAATTTGCATGAAAATCTATGGGCTCTAGGTGAAATTTGAAACTTTTTCAAAATGGGACTTCACATGGAATTTTTAAAGAGCATATTTGAAAGATGTAGAAATCTAAATGGAAGAAAAGTGGGATTTCAATTGTCCATGATTAATGTACCATAAATGGGGATGGCATTTGTTGCTTTTACGATACTTGTTAGATGTATTCGGATTGGGCGGAGAAGGTCACAAATGATATCAATAATAATAGTAAGCGGCCAAAATGATTTGTGTGATATTTTGTCAACAAACAGCGTAGTTAGTCAAAAAATAATCCGAGCAAAGCGATTACCACACTGCCATTCTTATATTCAGGAATTTTCTGTGTCTGCAGCGGAATGATTAAAGCCGCTGCCAGTTAGAAGAGGGAGGATAACAACCAAACAATATTCCAGGAGATTTGATGATCCGGTTGAAATGAATGGCTTCTACGCAGAACAAAGTTTTTTGTTAGATTTCGAGGTTTTTTTCTAAAAAACTCCCACTCAGTAGTTTTATTTGGCAGGTCAAGTGATTAAGAAGGCTTTTTTCATGATGATAGTTGTATGTACTGTAGTTACAGAATACATATATCAACATTTTAAAAATAGTATGAGATAAAAAATATAAAATTTGGTATTTTGAGCTTTGTGGACTTTTCAATGAAAATTGAGAAATTCAGGAAATCTACATATGTGTATTGTAAGAGTTTGCATTTTTTTTGAATATGATTTAAAATCCAAAAATTAAATTGGTAATGGGAGTTCAATTGTGCCGAGTGCCCATAATTTGAATATAAAAAACGGATTGGCTCATTTGAGTCAATTGCTCGTATTAGCTTAAACACAACAGTTTTTAGGCCGAGCTCTCTCCCTTCTCTCTCGCCCTTCCAACTGTACATCTTATCCTGAAAGAGCCTACGATTCGTTGGAGGATGAGCTTCTTCGAAGCTGTAACCTAAGTGAGGGTACGTGAAAAATTGAAGAAACCGATTTCCGGCGAGCGGATTTTGTGCCCTGTAGCCCCCTGTGCGTATTAACGGCTTTCAAGAGATTCTGACAGCAGATGAAGATAACTAAATCCTTATCGCGTGATGTAATCACATAGGGACCTAATCTTTAAAAGGAAATTGAGAATTTTATCAATAGAGACGTGGAGAAAATTGCAATAATGCGGAGTATTCAAATTTCTAAATTACTTTTGTATTTTGAAATTTAAAAAAATTACTCTGTTAGAGTGAATTGGAAGTTAATATTTGATAAATTTCGCCAGATATTCTTTTCCTTTTTTTTTAATACAACAGTTTCTATCTCAAATATCATCCGCAATTAATTAAAATGAGATCTCTGTCTTGAATAAATTAATATCAGTCTAGTCAATCCTTCTATATAGACTTAAAACACGTGTTATTTCATTAGCTATATATCTAATGTTAATTTATGGAAGACTTAAAAAGAGTACAAACTCCTTACGATAGTGCATTGGAAGATTTTCGCATGATTTATTGATGCGTTCAATACTGGCAATCCTATTAGCTAGATAAATGTTACCTAGAACAGTTGTTCTAAAGAGAAATATATATTGAACAAGAAAAAGAAAAATTGAAAAACAATTGATAACACCTCATAATCCGGGATAATTCGTCGAAATGATTCTTGCTCCGGAAGTATTTCAATTTCTTGGTACATAATCTTCACTTAATTTCGTTTTTGAAATGAAGTGCGAAAAATCGCAATTTCTCAAATATGAAGGCAGAAAATTAATCACTCTGAAGTGTGATGGGCTCATTCCAGGAGAAAAAGCAAAAAAAGTGCGTAAAAGCCCATTTCGCTAAAAAAAAGGCAATTCATCATTGAGGGACGATTGAAGAAGAAAAAAAGAAAAAAAAACAGCAAGAAATTGAAAAAAAAAGACTTGAAATTCGGGAATCATGGAAGGGAAATGGCGTCAGGATTTCGGGGAAATCATTCAAATAATTGGATCATTATTTCAGACAGATTAAATTTTTCTGCTGTCAATCTCCAGGAGATCTTTGCCGATGTTCTCAAATTCCGAAAAGTGACGCGATTGACAAGATTCGCGTAAAATAGGTGTCAAGTTCATCATGAGATCAGATATATGCGAAATTTTGTCAGGAACCTCCCGAACATCATCACAATTATCCATTCCAGAAGATCTTATGACAACAGCTTAATTTACGTATGAGGTATTATCCGCAAAAAAAAAACCATCCAAATAACTATTAATTCCAATGAAATCCGTATATATGTAGCGACATTGGGCCAATGAAAAAAAAATTATGTTGAAGAAATTCTTTTAGATTCATGACTTTGAATTTCTTATAAGAAATTTCGAGAAACGAAGAGGCTTAACATAAATTTTCGGAAAACTCTTTCTGTTTATTAGAGATTACTGTAATCCTATGAAGGAATCATTTTTTCTTATGACAATGCGTATAAGTGCTGTTGTCAACGTGTCGAAGCCTCAAACTTGCAATTTTTCCATCAAAAAAACGACACCTTGCTTACAACTGCTTGTTTCTCTATGTATTATTTTTAGAGTGAAAAAAAAGGATGATGATGCTTGCTTCTAACTTCTTGTAAAGAAACTTTTTGTTAAGGAGCCCGTCGCAAATGAGATTAGAATGCTCCCAACCATAGAAAGTGTTAGTTTCAAAGAATATGGTCTTCTTTATCTTTCGTCGAAGAACCAGCTTATAATAGAAGAGGATGAGAATTTTATTTTGTCAAATTGAAGAAATTAATCCGGAGGTTCATACTAATGTTCACTGAATTAACATATTAGCAATCCGGAATCAATAGTACCATAAAAGAATTGTATGCGGGTTTTCGGGAGAAGCGAATTTACCAGGAGATGTTGACTTATAGTAGGAAACAATTCAATTTACTAAATTGGTTTCGAAGGCAAAAGTTTGCATCTTCCAAGTTTAGGGCTCCAAACAAAGAATCAAACATTACAACTTTGATTTTTGGATTAAATAGCCATCAGACCCATACACAATATTTATAAGCATTCATTCAACTTGATATTAATAGTAAATCATAAATGTTTGCTAGCTTTTTGAAGACTATGTAACCATTGATCGGTGACAATTCTCAATGCCAATTATTACTCTACAATATCCGGAAGAAAGATATGTTTAAAATTAGCCCTATAAAGAATGTGATTTCAAGAAGATATTGAGAAACGAATAGCTCGGTCTCGTGTTTTTCGATAATAAATTATTCAAGTTGATTGTTGCAACGCTTCCACCAAAAAACGAAATTCGTATTGGTTTATGC